TTCAATTTCCGACCAAAATAAGTGTTCACCGGGCCAGGATAAGTGGTCTATTTCCCACCAAAATAGGTGTTCACCGGGCCAGGATAATTGGTCAATTTCCCACCAAAATAAGTGTTCACCGGGCCAGGATAAGTGTTCAATCTCCCACCAAAATAAGTGTTCACCGGGCTAGGATAAGTGTTCACTTTCCCACCAAAATAAGTGTTCACCGGGCCAGGATAAGTGTTCCATTTCCCACCCAAATAAGTGTTCACCGGGCCAGGATAAGTGTTCAATTTCCCACCAAAATAAGTGTTCCCCGAGCCAGGATAAGTGTTCACTTTCCCACCAAAATAAGTGTTCACCGGGCCAGGAGGGTTCACCGGGCCAGGATAAGTGTTCAATTTCCCACCAAAATAAGTGTTCTCCGGGCCAGGATAAGTGATCAATTTTCCACCCAAATAAGTGTTCACCGGCCAGGATAAGTGTTCACTTTCCCACCAAAATAAGTGTTCACCGGGCCAGGATAAGTGTTCACTTTATCACCAAAATAAGTGTTCACCGGGCCAGGATAAGTGTTCAATCTCCCACCAAAATAAGTGTTCACCGGGCCAGGATAAGTGGTCAATTTCTCACTAAAATAAGTTTTCACCGGGCCAGGATAAGTGTTCAATTTCCCCCCAAAATAAGTGTTCACCGGGCCAGGATAAGTGTTCAATTTCCCACCAAGGTAAGTGTTCACCGGGCCAGGATAAGTGTTCAATTTCCCACCAAAATAAGTGTTCACCGGGCCAGGATAAGTGTTCACTTTCCCACCAAAATAAATGTTCACGGGGCCAGGATAAGTGTTCAATTTCACCAAAATAAGTGTTCACCGGGCCAGGATAAGTGTTCACTTTCTTAGCAAAAATCAGTATTCAAAACCCCAGAAATGAGTGCTCAAAACCCCAGAAATAAGTGGTCTAAACCCCAGAAATATGTGTTCTAAACCCCCAGAAATAAGTGTTCTAATCCCCAGAAATAAGTGTTCTAAACACCCAGAAATAAGTGTTCTAAACCCCAGAAATAAGTGTTCTAAACCCCAGAAACAAGTGTTCTAAACCCCAGAAATAAGTGTTCTAAACCCCAGAAATAAGTGTTCTAAACACCCAGAAATAAGTGTTCTAAACCCCAGAAATAAGTGTTCTAAACCCCAGAAACAAGTGTTCTAAACCCCAGAAATAAGTGTTCTAAACCCCAGAAATAAGTGTTCTAAACACCCAGAAATAAGTGTTCTAAACCCCAGAAATAAGTGTTCTAAACCCCAGAAATAAGTGTTCTAAACCCCAGGAATAAGTGTTCTAAACCCCAGAAGTAAGTGTTCTAAAACCCAGAAATAAGTGTTCAAAACCATACCCAATCATAGCCGACATGAGCCAGCACAACCCTTCTAAAGAGAGGGGTCGAATTGCTGTTGGAGGCAGGGTCTAAATTATTAGGGTCCAGAGACAGAGAAAAACGATAGCAAAAAAAAGTCATGTGCAGTTGAAGTACATCTTCCGGTGCCGGGGCCTCTGGAGTCTCCGGCTCTGTCTTCGGGATGATTCTGGCCGGAACTACCTCAATCTTGTGATTTATAAATCATTCGAAAACCTTATATGATACATAGAAGAAGAAAAGATTTAGGGGTTTAAAGGGGTTTAGGATTTAAGGTTCACAGTCACCTAGCTTCTATAGGTGGCGTTTACAGAGTCTAGCCGAGATGCTGCCGGCCTTTGTTTCGGAGGAGGCTTTAGCTTTGGCGTTGCCTGTGCCAGTGCAGCCTTGCCAGGTGGAGGTCCAATTGCTCCTGGCGGCTTTGGGTGGCCTTCGGCAGCCTTCTCCATTGCCTCCCTGTCCGCTGCTCGGAAGCTGCCCACAGGTAGTGCCATTGGAATCTAAAGGCTGGACTCGGAGACTCAGGGACTCAGGGAATCTGAGTGTGAGGCAGCCATTCGCATTGATCCCAAAGTCTCAAACATGTCTGCATGTGTGCTCTCACGACTGGCTCAAGACTACAGTTACACAGAGTCGCAGACTGCAGAACCATGGCCGAGAAAACAACTGCAGCTGATGTGGTGCAACTCAAGAACAGCAGTGATGCCTGCGAGGTCTCGCTGCTGCTCTTGAGTTGCATTACATTAGGATTACGAGAACTGGACTACCCGCTGTGCTGCAGCTCAGAAACGAATCCGAGTACCTGAATGACCGAGTCCCTGAATCCCAGAGGCCTAGAGCCCTGACTGCATGGAATTTCCCCTTTGAGCTGCTCTAGGATTAAGAGGACAAGTACACCTGCTCTGGTGAAGAACGAGAGCATCTGAGACATGGTATTACCATGTCTCAAATCCTCTCGTTCGCCCAATGGAGCACTGATCCTAGTGCGAATCAAGAGCGACAGCCAGGTCTAGCCTTGCCTCGCTGTCGCTCTTGATTTGCAGTAGCTATCACCCGGCCTCAGCTGCAGCTGGCAAGGTGGCGCTGCAGCACGTCACAGCGAGGGCGACCTGTGTCAGGCATGTCATGTGCGATCGCCAATCGAGGCCTGCTGTATGTGTCATAGGGTAGGCCTCGGTTGGCGATCGCATGGAGCTGACTTTGGGGTTTAGGGTTTATAGGATTGGGGAAGACTGGAATGCAGAGTTTGTTTCTGTCTGCTCCGTGTTGCGGTCTCTGTCTGCTGCTGAGCAGTAATTGCAAGGGCGACAATTGTGGTTGGAGTTTTGGGAGCGCAGGCCTGCACTCCCCTTACACAACATCTCAAGAAGAGCAAGAAGCGTGACGAGCTCTGTGTTGTGGTCTCTGTCTGCTGCTGAGCGGTAATTGCAAGGGTGACAATTGTGGTTGGAGTTTTCGGGAGTGGAGGTTTGGAGCTTTAGAGCCCCAGCCCAAAAGGCGACCATTCTGTGTTGGAGTTTGGGGAGCGGGGAGCGACAGAGTGGTGATCTTTCGCCGCCGAAAGATCACCACGCCGTCGCTCCCCTAAACCCTAATCCCGAAGCTGAGCGGATAGTATAACCGCAATGTTCAAGGGTTACGACGTTCGTAGCTGCCTTGACCATTGCGGTTAACTCTATTGTCTGTCAAAGGGATATTACCTGGTCATGGGCTTGTTGGTGCTTCAAGCTGGCTGCTACGGACTCTGTTGGAGCTCCTTCTGTACCGGGGAGATTGTGTCGAAGAGGTTGCAATGACATGGGCGATTGGCACACAACAGCTTACCAGACACAGTCGGCCTCCCATCCAAGTTGAGATTGCACGCATCCCGCGTCACCCCCCAGCTTCCCGGAGGGGGGTTCAAGCAGTCGCTGCCCCAGCTGATGCTTTAGCGTATCGCTCAGCTGTCATACACCTGGTGCTGGTGCGTTGGCCTCAAAGCAGCGACTTGCTTGACCACAATGCCAACAAAGCCTCACACCCGGCCAATGGTGTGCAGGGAACCCTACGGAAGCACCGGTTCCCCGTTGGTAAGGCTGGCAAATGCCGGCTGAGTCGCAGAGTCCCAGAGTATCAAGAGTCGCAGATGAGCAGAAAAATGCCAGAGCTGTGCAAATAGCATCCGCCTTCCCCTAACCCAAAAGCAACTACTATTCTGTTCAACACATCAGTACTTTCCAAATAAACAATGACAATCTTTAAACCTGCAACCCCGAGGAACACTTCAATGTGTACGACCATGGCCATTTATTTATGCTAAACGGAAACACCACTAAACCCGCCGAGGCCTCTTCGGATGCATCTGCTGCTCTTGGCTGCTCCTGGCAAGCACTTCAACGATTGAGGGGTTTTGTGTTTCAGGTCCAGTCACCTGGCCCCGTTTAAGAGTGTTGGGGCGATGTGGGTCTAATTCCGGTGAAGTTAATTGGTCTATTTTCGCTGTATTTACTTAAAACAGGTCTTCTGTTCCATTAGGCTTGACGACCTAGTTTTGTTTCCAAGATCCCGGCTGTCCTGAGTGCGAAGCCCACCTAAGTCTTTTACTAAGCAAATCTATCACACTCAGGTCACCGTGGATCTTGGAAAACATATGGAACTTAACTATGAAAGCCTAGCTTGCTAGAGTTTTGCTTTGGGGTTTAGAGTCTATGGGTTTCGCGCTTTTACGTAAGTCAGCACATGTTTCCATTCAAGGTTCTGAGCATAATTAAGGCCCACTGCAAACACCCTCTATCCCAAAGATCTTACTATTCGACCCTAAACGACCCTAAACCCTAAACTCTGAGCCCTATGATCAAAGCTTACCACATCCATATAGGATTTCAGGTTTTCGGGTTTAGGGCCCAAAACAACCCTAAACGACCCTAAACCCTAAACCCTGAGCCCTATGATCAAGCTTACCACATCCATATAGGATTTCAGGTTTTCGGGTTTAGGGCCCAAGACAAACCCTAAACCCTTAAAACCCAATCCACCGAGCAGCACCTTGCCGGTGGACAAGATGCGAAACTGACCTTGGCAGTGGATTCGTGGGGAGGAGTGATGCAAGCTTCAATTCAATGCGAAATGGGCGGAGCAGAATTTCAGTCGGCTTTTTTCAATGGCACGTTGTACGTGCACGTCCTGTGTAAAAGATGGCCGTAACCACTGTGCATGCCAACGTGCACCTCGGATTGTCGTGATTAGTTCGCCATAAAGCTTCAAACACAATCCCAAGCGAGGTGCAAGGAAATGGCAAGGTTCAGGTTGCAATTATCCGACAGCACCAGGACCAGAGCCCTCACGAAGCGAATCATCGAATCCCGAAGCTTTCGGCTTTATGGTAGGTTAGTTGAGACTGAAATGATCAGGACTCAGAGACTCAGAGACTCAGAAACTCGGGGACTCTGGTACTCTGGGACTCTGGTCCTGTGCTTCTCCAGAAAGTCCTGGCAGAGACTCCTGGGGCTTTGGGGCTCTGGTCCATTGGGCTGAAATGAAAAGGGCTCAGAGATTCAGAGACTCAGAGACTCAGGGACTCTGGGACTCTGTCTCTGTCTGGGCCGGAAGGCGCCGTGAGCTACTTCTCAGTCGTCGTAGTAGTACTCACGGATGAAGTCGCCGATGAAACTCGACACCGTGTCATGCTGCCAGAAGCCTGTGCAGCTGTTTGCCACCACGTACTCCCCTTTTTCGTGGTCAAAGAACTGCACATTCGAGTCCGGGCTGTGCTGGTGGAACTCGTACGTTTGGCCATCGTCCACGTAGTAGAACGTGATCTTGCCGTTGTAGGCTTCCTGCCAGACCCATCCGTGCGGACAGGTTTTGAAAGGCCTGTCGCCCTGGACAACAAATCCAGGCCTGCTGCGACGAGGCTCGAAATTCTGCCCTGCCGGTGCCTTCGTCACCAGTGACTTCTTGATCTCGGCGGGCACCAGGTCCATCGCGAAGAGCTGCAGCACGTTCGGCGGTCGCCGCCCTCCCCGGCAGTACATGTTGTCCGGGTAGTCGCGCAGCTCCAGGAACAAGGCCTTCTTGACACCGGCCTCCTCGCAGTAGATGCCGGAGTGGTACTTGAACTTCGCAATGCCCTGCAGGCTCGGCGCCTCCATTGGAAACACACCCAGTACCTGGAACTCCTGCATTCCAGGGACATCGGCCTTGCGGATCCAATCGACGGTCATCTCGCTGCGGGGCCTCTTGGTCCTGAGTCATTTTGCATACAACCAGACCGATTTTAAATTTTTATAGAAATTTTTCCCACTTTTCGAAGCCAAGGTTCATGGCATAGATGAACTGACCCTTGGCTTGCATGTAGAAAGTCGTGGTGGGCGAGCAGTCAAAGAAGAAGGACTCTTCGGAGTTCGGGGGGGCGCCGACAAGATGCTCGTAGGGCCCACGTGCCATGTAATCCGAGTGGTCAATCTTGAGCGAGCAGTACGTCGGAAGCACATCCTCCATGATACGGCCTTCATCGGGGAAATGCTGGGCCAGCAGTGACTTGTTCAGGGCCGCGGGGCTGCGATCCGGGATCCTCATCTGTGAAGGGAGGACCAATCCTCGCACTTTCCAGAGGCCAGCCTGCATGAACATGCCTTTGACTCCCTCCATGATGTCGAAGGCGTGCCGGAAGAACGGGTACCTGGGTCAGAACAGGACATGTGCAACAACAACCGCCTAGAACTTACAGGTTTGCTTTCATCAGCTTGATATCTCAGGCATGTTGCGTGTTGTACGAGCCGCCCGGAATCCTGGCCATCAGGAACGGCGGGTTGTTCTCGCCGTAGATGTGGTAGTACAGCTCGTGCCCGTTCATCCTGGCCCAGCCGAGCAGCGGCCCATGGGGAACGACACCTTTGTACAGCTGGCGGCACCACACCTCGAGCACCGAGAGATCGTACTGGGACTCGGCACTCAGACTCAGCATCGACCCATCGTTGTGCATCGCCACATACTGGTCCCGAAGGTCGATCAGCTTGGTCTTCAAACCACTCTCCAGTGTACAAGTCGGCCACAGTGTCGCTGGGTCGTAGTTGCTGATGGCTGCAGAGTAAAAGATCTTCACATAGCCGAGGTCCTTCACGGGGTCGCCGTGCGGGTCCCAGCCAGGAAGGGTGCCGCCGCTCTGCAGGATGTGCTCCACTTGGCTTGTCGGCATGGATGTGATGTCCTGCTCCGACTCACCAACCTGGTCGAGCCGTGGCTGGGCTGCCACTGTTGGTGTAGCAGATCGTGTCGCCGACATTGCAGAAGCCCTTCTCGACTGTATCTGCAGCAAGCCCTCATAGGGCCGTAGACTCTCGAGGTTCGCAGGCTCTGAGTCTGGGACTCCGAAGTCGTCGGGGACTCTGGAGTCGGGGACTCTGGGCTCAGAGGGTGGGACTTCGGACACCCGCACAAACTCAGAGTCTACCTCGGAACCTTCCTCCACGATCGGCGCATCGTCCTCCACTTTGGCTTTCGTCGCCCCCGGCTCTGCCACTGGCGAGTCTGGCCCAGGCTTTGTCACTGGCGAGTCTGCGCTGCTCGTCGCCGGCCCCACCGGTGGGTCCGAAACAATGATTGTCTCTGGGACTCCGGTGTCTGTCTTCGGGGTCGGTGTCTGTGTACTCGGGCCACTGCGCAAATTCAGGACGGTCAGGATGGAGATGGCGAAAGTGCCAGTCTGTGTCGTGAACTTGACGACAGGGAACGGCTGATCGGGCATCATCGTTGCCTCGGTGAGTGAAATCAGTTCGTTGTTCTCGGTGGTGACCACGGCAAACTTGACATCCCCACCTGAGGGCACATGACACTGACTCAAGGGAAACATCATGAATTAAAACCCTCAACCCAAAACTGTAGTAGACACTCGTACACTTTGATCCCAGTCCTGCCTGCGACATCCACCGGCAGCTGTACTGAGCTAGGCTCGCAAGACTTATCCTTCAGGACAGACATCGCGATCCAATCGCCGTTCAGCTGCGCTGCCAGCACGACCTCGGCACGCTGGAAGCATGCGACGGTCCCTCCGCTGGTCACCTGCATGAAGAATTGCGAGTTCACTGCCCCCATCGCGGAAGTCAGGAGTCTGGGACTCCGGGACTCGGCGCGGACAAAGAGCCAGGAGTCTGGGACTCCGGGACTCAGACTCGGGGACTCAGTTCCAAGCCCAAAGCTGCATTCGGCGTGTGATTGTGTCTTGTGCTCATGATGCTTGTGTCTCAAACTCACTCTCTAACAGTTGCTCTGCATGACTGTCGCAAAAAAAAACCCTAAAGCCCAAACCTAAACCCTAAACCCCTAAACCCCTAGACCCTAAACCCTAACCCTAAACCCCTAAACCCCAAAAAACCCTAAAGCCCAAACCCCAAGACCAAAAACCGAAACCTTGCACGGACTTAGGCCCTGACGTTCGAGAAGGACTTCGCGAAGCATAGACTGACCTGGCATTTCTTATTAGGGTTTAGGGTTTAGGGCATAGGGCTCTAGGGCTAAACCTTACACCCTAAACCCTAGAGGTTTAGGGGTTTAGGGTGTAGGGTTTAGTTTTAAAGTGACCCTTTTCAAAGATTCACACCGACCACATGTGATGCTATCCATGTCCAGTCTATAGTTATGCTAATCTTAGCAGGACACGGATGGCATCACATGTGGTCGGTGTGCATCTTCGAAACTGATATAAACTATCTATTACCATACACAGCTCTTAAAAACCCGACCCTAATTCTAAACCCTAAACCCTAAACCCTAAAACCCGTTTCAAAGATTCACACCGCCCACATGTGATGCTATCCATGTCTAGTCTACAGTAATGCTAGTCTTAGCAGGACATGGATGGCATCACATGTGGCAACAGTTGTGCATCTTTGAAACTGATACAAACTATTAGAATATATAGTACCATAGTAATAATAGCTGTTAAGAAAAGCCCAAGCCTAAACCACAACCCCAAAAAGCCCTAAACACACAAAAGACTGGCTTAGGGTTTGGTATTACCTGAAGCGCAAACCCAAAATGCTGATAGGTTTCACAAAGATGGGATTAGTTTCTAAGCTGCATCATTGATTGGTGGTAAGGATTATGAAACAGAGCCTGGGGTTCCACTGACCTGGCATTTCTTATTGGGGTTTAGGGTTTAGGGCATAGGGCTCTAGGGCTAAACCTTACACGCTAAACCCTAGGGGTTTAGGGGTTTAGGGTGTAGGGTTTAGTTTTAAAGTGACCCTTTTCAAAGATTCACACCGACCACATGTGATGCTATCCATGTCCAGTCTATTGTTATGCTAATCTTAGCAGGACACGGATGGCATCACATGTGGTCGGTGTGCATCTTCGAAACTGATATAAACTATCTATTCTCGAGGTAGTCAGGCTTGTCATTGTGTGTTGTCTACCCAGTTCATATTTAATTTGCTTGTTGATATTGTTCTCAAAGCCTGACTACCCAAGACCCCACACCCTAAACAACCCAACCCGAAGAACTCCCTCCTTAATCCTCCCGAACCCTTTATGTGGCAGGTGTCCTGCCTGGCCTGCCTGGTGTGGGCCCAGACCTGAGTGGCCACATGCAATCATGCTGCACATTGCTCTCAAGACATGTGTTTGAGACATGATCATCAGCTGGCTCTGAAGGCGCTTACAACTGACGAAGATCTTATCCAGCACGACACAACTAATTGACAACAGCAAAGTCATGATCGTCAGTCACACGACAAGCATGCACAACCATTCGCATGTTTGTGACACTCAGAATTCCAACATTTCTAGACTTTTCTTCTAGCTCTCTGATTCACACATGGCCAGTCTGTGAGACTCTCAGAGTCGCAGAGTCACAGATTCTCAGAGTCCCAGACTCTCAGAGTCACAGATGTTCACGCCTCCACCACCTCCGCCTCCGGCTACTACTCCTCCAGATCCCAAGCCGGGGCCCCCACTGGGCCCCCCACCGGGCCCCCCACCGGGTCCCCCACCGGATCCCCCACCAAAGACCTCACTGGGTCCTGCTGAAGCAACACCCAAGTGGATGCCGACGCCACCGCCACCGGCAGCCAAGGTGAAGGTGTCATCTACACCAAGAGATGGATCCTATCTTCGGCGGCAAGAAAAATTCAGAAGAGAGGAGCAGCTCGCGGAAGAGCTTGCAACCGAAAAGAAGCTGCACGAGCAGAGACTGCAGGAAACAAAGGAGCATTATGAGGAGAAGTTGGACGAAGCCAAGAAACAATACGATCTGGCGGTGAAGAACCTGCAGCTTCAGGCAAAAGTGGATGCATCTGAAGCGGAGAAACGCTATGACCAAAGGCTGGCAACCGCAGTCAGTAACTTGAGAGAGCAGATCAGTGTGGAGAAGAAAGCAAAGGAGACGGAGCAGAAGAAATGTGCGGACCTCGAGGCCTGCAACAAGAGGTATGTGGATGCAAACGGAAAGTTCGCAACGGAGCACCAGAACTGGATCCAGCGTGGTCAAAATGCAGAAGCTGGAGAAAAGGAAGCCAAACGCCAGGCGACTGTGGCCAAAAAGCAACTGGAGGCGCTGCAAGTGATAAACACTCTATCTAGAAGCCCATTAAGCATATTCCGCTGATTGTCTCATAATGGATGGCAGGCTGAACAAAAGAAGTACCAGGAGCTGAAGACACAACACGATGCATTGGAGGCCGACTGTCACCGGGAATTATACCTGACACTGAAAGGTGCAGGCAGACTAGAGGGCGAGCCCCTGAAAGAAGTCTTTCAGTGGCTTGCCCTCTAGTCTCCCTTCACCTCTCGAGTGTGCACATGCCAGGTACTTCTGCAGAAGCGAGCTGCGCAACTCAACCCGCCGTCCGAGGCCAGGGCTTCTCGGGGTCGTCAACTGCTGTCTTGGATGATGTGGATGATGGGGCCTGAACAGGAATCTGCTGCGCCAAAGAAAAAGAAAAAGGGCTGAGTCTCAGATTCCCTGAGTCTCAGATTCCCTGAATCTCAGGATTTTAGTGAAGAGTTTCACGTTTTTGAGATGCCAGTTCACTCGACAGGGAAAACTGATCTTGAAATTGCCAGCATGCACTCTGCCTGCACTCCATGCGAACTGACTTTAAACCAAATCCTGAATCGCCAATGCACTGAGGCCGGCACCATCTGCACTGGAAGGGCGCCGGCACGTTTGGAGGGGGGGGGGTTGAGACTTCAGGTGGGGCCGGTTCGATTGGGGTTGCTCCGTGGCTGTGTGGGCTTGTGATATTGTTCAGTGTTGCTGCCTTGAGTTTAGTGTTGTCGCTGTTGTTGTCGTGGTCGTTATTGTTGTTGTTGATGCTGTCGTCGTCACTGTTACTGATGTTGTTTGTTGCTGTGGTCTTGTGGTTGTTGCTGTTAGCTGCGGTTTTGCTGCTGTGGTTGTTGTTGCTGCTGTTCTCGTCGTTGTCGGTGTCGTTGGTGTTGTGTTGTTGCTGCTGCTGTTGATGGTTGTTGTTGTTGTTGTGGTTGTTGTTGTGGTTGTTGTTGTTGTTCTTGTTGTTGTGGTTGTGGTTGTGGTTGTGGTTGTGGTTGTGGTTGTGGTTGTGGTTGTTGTTGTTGTGGGTTTTGTTGTTATTGTTGTTGCTAGTGTTAATGTGTTTGGTGTTGTTGCTGCTGCTAATGCTACTGCTGTCGTTAATGGTGTTACTGTGGTTGTTGTTGTTGTTGTTGCTGCTGCTGCTGTTGTTGTTGTTGTTGTTGTTGTTGGTGTTGTTGTTGTCGTTGTTGGTGTTGTTAAGATATAAGACTTCTGTGCACCTCCCCGGTACAGTAACTTCCTTCCAGCTTACTTCGACCACCACACTTCGTGTGGCTCAAGGCTGGCTGTGACAAAGAGGACTTCAGAGTGCTGTGCTGACTTCAGGGTTGAGCTCTGTTTGTGCATACTTCAGACGCTTTGTACTTTTTCATGGTAGCGGAGCTTCGTGCTCCTAGGCCTTTGTAGGAAACTTCGTAGATGTCAGCAGCTGAGCTAGAAGGAGAGTTCGCAGGCAAACTTCGGTTGCCACTTCCGCCGGTCTTTAGTGGAAATCCTGAGGACTGGGAAGAATGGCAGTGGAACTTCACAATCTATGCTTCATTGTTTGATCCTGCAATTGCTGAACTTCTTGAGAGATCAGGAAATGCGAACGTAGAGGTAATAGATGAACACTTCAGAGGTGACAGGTTCCCGGAAGCCAGATCAGCCGAGCTCATTCGCTTCAGTCGAAAACTTCATGTTCTCCTCGCAAATCTCACTTCGGGTGCCGCGAAACTTGTAGTTCGTCAGAACGTCGGTGGAAACGGCTTCGAAACTTGGAGAAGACTTCAACAGAAATTCAGCATGCCCAACGCGCAGCGCGAGCACGCACTTCTCGCACAAGTTCTTGATTGGAAATTCAACACGCATACGTTCGAGCAAGATTTCACTTCATGGGAGACGGTCAAGGTCAGATATGAGACGCTCACAGGCACTTCGCTGCCCGACGGAGTTCTCATAGCTACGTTGTTGAATAAGACTTCAGGACAACTTCAGCAGCACCTGAGGTTGAACTCGACTTCGATCAGGACCTACGCGCAGATGAGAGAAGTGATTGTATCGTACTTCAGATCAAGGCTTATGCTTCAGGGCACAGCTTCAAGTTCTCAAGGTCCAGCCCCGATGGATGTAGGAGCCCTGAAAGGTTGGGGCAAAGGAAACTTCAAAGGAAAGAAAGGAAAAGGAAAGGGCTTCGGCCCCAAAGGAGTGAAAGGAGGAAAGAGTGGTTTCGGCCACTGGAACTTCATGAAAGGAAAAGGGAAATCAGGAAAAGGAATGAAAGGAAACTTCAAAGGATCAGGAAAAGGAAAAGGAGGAAAGGAAGGAAATGGAAAGAAAGGAACTTCGGGTTCAGGAAAGACGGGAGCAATCACATGTTGGACGTGCGGCCAAATTGGCCACACTTCGAGAGAGTGTCCGCATCAGTATCGTGTTTCCGCGGTAGATGAGACTTCAGGTGATTGGAATGCAGATTGGACAGGAGAGTATGACGCAGGGCATGACTTCGGTGATGCCTGGGATGCCTCATGGGATGATGCTTCGTGGATCGGTGCAATTGATGACTTCACATGGCAGGTTGATGCATGGGATGATGGATCGTGGTGGACTTCTGCTTGGAATGAGGATCCTTGGGCTTACGACCCGACTCCCTTCTCTCAAGCCTCCCAACCAGCCACCTCAAGCGAAACTTCAAACCAAGCGCCGGTACCACCAGCAGCTACGCAGACTTCAGCAACTTCGGCTGACAAGGTTTCGGCTGTTACCTTCGGTGAGCCTCCAGGCCTTTCACTTCCCGACAAAACTTCGAAAGCCAAAGCCTCACCCAAGCCGAAAGCCTCAACAGCCTCAGGACTTCTGCTTGCTGCGGTTACGCTAGGTAGTGTAACTTCAGGGTCTTCGTTCAGCATCGCCCCGACGATGCCAATGCCGAACTTCGAAGACGAAGGACCCGGTCAGGAGTCCACACTTCTCAGTACGCTTTTCACTTCGGGTTTGAGTCACCTCAACACCTCTTTCAAGGATGTGTTCTTTGAGGAACATGTCGCTTCTGTAACTTCTTTGAGCCCGCAGTGGATTTTGTTTGACAGCGGTGCAGCAGCTCATTGCTGCCCCAAGAACTTCGCCCGAGAGTGGCCGTTGCTTCCACTCCAAGACAGAGCGCCTCCACTTCGCAGTGTAACAGGGCAGCTCCTCAACATCTACGGTAGACGACTTGTAGGAATGAAGATAGGTGATGTTGAGTTTCACATGCACTTCTATGTCACAGACATTGGCTATCCTATCGTTTCGGTAGGAAGACTTCTAGCCCAGAACTACACCGCAACTTTAGGAAAGGATGAGCTGACACTTCACGCTCCAGATGGCAAGCACCTTCCTGTTGAGCGTGAGGGTTCACTTCTTTTCTTGAAGCCGGAAATACTTCCTTTTGTCAAACACGACTTCGAGTTGGTGTGTGTTGCGTTCCACGAAAACTTCGCAACGGAGGCTGAGAGCACGGTGTCAGCGTTTAAGCCTGTGTACTACCACGCTGATCGTTGGCACTTCGATCCCGCAAGAAACGTTCTTGTGCGGTATCACAAGCGCCCTCGCAAAAATCTGTTTGTGCCAAGCGGCACTTCAGATAGACCAGTGGCGCTGAACAAGCTTGCTCAAGAGCGGAAAACCTTCGTGGTTGATGCTCAAGGAAATGAGAAGGAGCTCACGGACAACTGGGTCACTTCAGATGAGCCCACGCGAGCGCTGGATCACTTCTGGAAAGGAAGAACGGAGTTTAAACTTACAACTCCTCCGAACCAACGCCCGCCGACGAGACTTCTTCAGAAGAGGTCACTTCTCACTCCGCCGGCCCACGAGGATCCGAAAGCTTCTCCTCCAGCTGAGCAAGCGCGCACTTCTCGCGCCCCTGTTGCGACAGAGTCTTTCAGACCAGAAACTTCGCTGTATCCGAAGAGGTCTGATCTTCAGAAGAGCCTTCGTGAAGCTTCGGATGGAAATGAGGCAAGTGTGAGACGCTTTGTGGCATCTCAACTTCAAGAGCCAGATCCAAGCACAGGCCTTCCGTATGAACATGACTTCTGGTTGGACACACCGTTGATGTGGATTCGCTTTCACTTCGTTCCGCGTAGCACGTTGTTTGTTCCCAACGAGGAGGAACTTCAAGGTGGCCCTGATGTCACCCAGCTTGGTCGTGAGCGCATGACTTGCTTGTGCACTTCGGAAGGTGACCAGTGGCGCGAAGATAATTGGGACTTCGAAAGCGAAGCCTCCAAGAGAGAGGTTGGCTTCACTTTCACAGGAGCTACGTGTTTCGCCAAGCCGGAGGAAGAGGTCGTTGAGCCACTTCCCGTTCCGGTTGCTGGTGAGGACACCGACGCCAGAGTGCCCAAGACACTTCGCGCACCAAAGGCACCAACTGAACAAGAAAGGGAAGAACACAACCTCACACATCTTCCCTTCAGAAGCTGGTGCAAGATCTGTGTTCAAGCCAAAAGCCGGCAGGACCACTCGAAGAAACTTCGCATGAGGCAACCCGTGCTTCAATGCGACTACTCCTTCATGCCGGACAAGGGAGAGAACCAAGCTACACTTCTCAACGTGCGAGATGTGATCACAGGCATGTCTCTCTCGGTGGTTGTGCCGAATAAAGGTAACTCCGTCTATGCAGAAGCGGAACTTCGTCGCTTCGTGCAGGACGTTGGCCGGACATTCGGCATACTTCAGTGCGACCCAGAGCCTTCTCTCAAGGCTGTAGCGGAGACGGTCACTTCAGAAATAGGTGGCTTGTCGTTGAGAAACAGCCCTACTGAGTGGAAGCAGGCTCAAGGTGCAGTTGGACAGGCGCAGGCACTTCTCTACTCACAGGTACGAGCACTTCGACTCGACCTGGCAGAGAGGTACGACTGCCAGATCCCTGTCACTTCGCCAGTGTTCCCGTGGCTTGTGAAGCACGCACAGTTCTTGTTGAACAACTTCTCTGTTCGTTCTGATGGGCAAACGCCCTACGAACGTCGCTGGGACCGCAAGTACACTTCTGCGGTCTGTCGCTTTGGAGAAGTGGTCTTGTTCCGACTTCCTGGTCGTGTGCCTAAAGCTGAGCCTGCTTGGGAGCGTGCGTTGTGGCTTGGTCGTGAAACCACTTCGGACATGCATGTTGTCGGCAATGCAAACGGCGTGTACAAGACACGAAGCGTCAGGAGACTTCCTGCGGAGGATCAAGTGAGCAAGGAGCTTCTTGACTCGTTGAAAGCGACTCCTTGGGACCCGCGTGGTCGCCAAGAGGAGAGTGCTCACTTCGTTCTTCCAGCCCAGTCTGAAGCTTCGCCTGCCGCAGCGCCTGCAGTCTCAGACCCGCAGGGAGCGCAGGACGCGGCCGGCTCCAGTGCCGACGGCACTTCTGGAAGCAAGCGCAGCGCAGAGGCACCTCCAGAGGATGCGCCTTCGCAACTTCGGGCCAGGCTGGAACAGTCGCAGGGAGAGAAGCGCGAGATCTCCACGGAGGTCCCGGACAGTGCGACCAAACTTCGGCGAATCTCTGCGGTGCTTGAGGATCGCCTGGTTGACACTTCTTGCGTTGCTTCTGTGACCACGCGTGACGGTCTTGAAGTTCCTGTCGAGGTTAACGTTGACCGTGCTGAAGAACTTCAGGCCTTGCGTGCAAGTGAGCCTGTTGTCTGGTACGACACGGAGTTTGACAAGGAGCAAGAACTTCAAGGCATGCAGAAAGAGCGTGAATCTCTTCAGCACTTCGATGTGTTCGAAGAAAAGCTTGTGAGCGAATGTTCCGAGGAGCAACTTCGAGACGCAATCTCCACGCAATGGGTTAAGCGCCCTAAGGGAGATGGTGTGCGTTGCAGGCTGTGTGTCAGAGGCTTCGACCAAGTCGTCGAGGACCCAGACGACACTTTCGCCAGCACACCTTCGCTTGCTACGCTCAAACTTCTTCTTACACTTGCGTGCACTTTCAACTGGTTCGTTCTTGCTGGCGATGTGTCCACAGCGTTTCTCCACGCACTTCTGAGTGAAGAGATCTTTGTGATCCCTCCGGGTGAATTCTACCCCAACGGTGGAGTGCTATGGAAACTTCGCAGAGCCATGTACGGACTGAAACAGAGTCCGAAGGCATGGCAGACCCACTTCGCGAGCGTGATGGCCGATCTCGGCTTCAAGCGTCTTAAAAGCGATCCTAATCTCTACTTCCATCCTGAGTACAAGGTGTACCTTCTTTGCTACGTAGATGATGTACTTCTCTTCGGTGCAAAGGAGCCGTGTGAGCACCTGTTTGCCAAACTTCAGGAACGTCTTCTTTTGAGACGGGAAGGGACGCTTCAGCCGGGGGAGAGTATCAACTTCTTAGGTAGATGCATCACACGACGCGAAGATGCGATCGAGATTTCCATGCCTACTTCGTATGTTGACAAGATTCTAGAAGAATATGCTCTTTTGGAGTGTAGGCATAGCCCTCCCGGCAACGACTCACTTCGTAAGAAAATCGAATCCGAAGAGCCTTTGGATACAGTCGAGCACCGTAAGTACAGACGAGTGGTAGGCCAACTTCTCTGGCTTAGCAGCATTCGCCCTGACATTCAGTACGCTGTCAAGGAACTGTCTCGAGGATCAACTTCCCCGACAGAGGCTCACAAGGCCAAGGTCAAGATGCTACTTCGGTACCTTGCAGGGAGCAAGGCCTGCGTCCTGACACTTCGGCCGAGGGTCATGCTTCGTCGGGAAATGACTTCTCTTGATGTGGTAGCGTATGTAGATAGTGATTGGGCAGGTTGTGTCACTACGAGGAAGAGTACTTCGGGTGTGTCTGTGTTCTTCAACGGTTGCTTAATTGCTTCGCAAAGCCGCACATAGCAGACGATAGCGACTTCGTCTGGAGAGGCCGAGCTTTACAGCATTGGCCTGGGCACTTCGGAGAGCCTTTTCGTAAAATCACTTCTCATCGAAATGAACATCACTTCGCGCGTGAACATACGCGTTTTCACAGATTCTTCGGCCGGAAAAAGCATGTCGACGCGCTTCGGTGTTTCGAAGAAAACTCGACATGTCGAACTTCGCTATCTTTTCATGCAAGAGTTGGTTCAACAAAACATACTTCAAGTGAAGAAAGTTGCCGGTACTTCGAACCCCGCTGATGTGTTAACCAAGTATGTTTCACGTGAGGTACTTCAGAGGCATCTAGGAACCTTAGGTGTAGGCTACCCTTTTGGTAGGCTGCCCTAACTTCTAGGATGCTGTGCAGAAAGATGTTTCACTTCAATTCGTTTGCTTTAAAGGCAGAGCTCCCCTTTCAACTTCAGGGTCAGTGAGGTCCTCTGTGTTTCAGATCTTCGCCCCAGAGCCGCCTTTGCAAGGACTTCATGGCCGCCGCCGCTCCTTTGGGCTGCGACTTCGTGCCTCACTTCGTTGCCGCCATGGCTTCTGCTTGGGTTTCTTACTTCTGGCTGGGTTCTTGGCAACTTCGCTTTGGTATTCGTTTCTGCATGGATGGTTTGCGAACTTCATACCGGATTGTGCCCACTTCTGTTGGGACGTGGTTTTGGTACAGACTTCTTTGCGATCGACGTCTTCAGTGGTTTGTGTGCTTCTACTTCGAGAAGATGGCCCCCAAACTTCAGGTTCCGGTGCCAAAGGCAGTGGCTCTTGGACTTCCTCCGGCAGCACTGCCAGGACCCTCGACTTCGGAAGAGGCCGAAATGACGAGGGACTTCCGCAACTTCGTGGAGGAGCATCAGTTCTACGTTCCGGACCCGAACTTCGAGAGAGATGAACTTCCGCCGCGACTTCCCACTCGAGCACTTCCTCAGAACACGTGGCTGGAGTTGCGCTACGCCTCGGGTAACTTCGAGACGGTCTGCGGACTTCACCCGGCGCACTTCCAGCAACTTCACAGGGCCGTGGATGTACTTCGGGTACACTTCTATGGCAAGGAAGCGGCTCGACTTCTCGGGCATGGCCGAGATCACCTCGGCTGGAGCCACTTCGCTGGGATGAGCTACTTCGCGGTGGACAATGTGTGCTTCACGCACTTCAAGCATGTCCCTGACTTCTTGGAGTCACTTCGCCAGGGCCGCCAGATCAGCAAACTTCTGCTGCCTGGGACTTCAGACTTCAGGCTGGTCTACGCGCTACTTCGACTTCAACCTGGCGTGGACAACCCGGTGGTGACGGCACTTCAGTCCGCGGCGCTGTTTCCGGAGCTCTTCGCCCGGAGCACTTCTTATGTGGCCAACGAGACGGACTTCTGCATCAACTTCAAGGCAAGCTATATCGGCCCGAACTTCGTTGATGTACTTCCCGAGCCTTCGATCCGGTTGTGGTTTTGCACTTCCTTGAACTTCCATCCTCACGCGCATGTCACGAGATGGAGATGGCGAACTTCACCTGACTTCGGATATGCAGCCATTCTCCCCGGATATGTTGAACTTCGCATTTTCTCCGAGGTCAGCGAAGTAGCTTGCGTGCTTCGGACTTCAGCTTCTGTTGGAGACTTCCCCAACCGAAGCCAACCGAGTGCTTCAAGGAGGCATCGGACTTCTGTCCTTCAGGATGACCTCGAGCGAGATATTGAACTTCGTGGAAGGTAACCGCTTCCGCTTCTGGAATCGGCGGTACATCGACTACTTCATCAACGTGCCCGGCGAGCACTTCGTGCTGCGACCTCACCTCCGCACTTCCTTGGCGGTGATTCGTCTTCCGGGCAACTTCCAACAGTTCTTTGACCTCGCCTGGTCGAAGACTTCGCATGGCTTCAACCGCTACATGCACATCCCGATGAGGACTTCGGACTTCGCCCGGTTCGAGAACACTTCTGAGGCGGATTCGTGGGTGAGTCGTGAGCTTGCCGTGCAACTTCTGAGGGCACGCTACTGAGACTTCGGTCCTAACTTCTTTTGGTGACTTCGAAGGAGTCACTTCGCGCTGTTGTGCAAGCGCCACTTCTGCGATGTTTGGAGGACTTCCAACTTCGCTCGATCCTAGCACTTCGTGCAGCAGCTTCTTTTGGTTGAAACAACTTCGTGAACTTCTTTGTTTCAAGGGAGCGTGTTAAGATATAAGACTTCTGTGCACCTCCCCGGTACAGTAACTTCCTTCCAGCTTACTTCGACCACCACACTTCGTGTGGCTCAAGGCTGGCTGTGACAAAGAGGACTTCAGAGTGCTGTGCTGACTTCAGGGTTGAGCTCTGTTTGTGCATACTTCAGACGCTTTGTACTTTTTCAGGTGTTGTTGTTGTTGTTGTTGTTGTCGTTGTTGTTTGTTGTTGTTGTTGTTGTTGTTGTTGTTGTCATTGTTATTGCCGTTGTCATTGTTATTGTCATTGTTGGTTTTATTGTCAGTGTTATTGTTATTGTTATTGTTAGTGCTGCTCTTGCTGTTGTTGCTGTTGTCGCTGTTGTTGTTGTTGTTGTTGTTGTTGTTGCTGTTGTTGTTGTTGCTGCTGCTGGGTGTTGTTGGTGGCATGGCACGGTGTAGCTAGCTATTGGAAACTTTTGGTTGCAGAGTTGCAGGATGTTGAGTACAAAGGTCGGGTGATTGTTGTTACAGCCGCTTGTTGATGGTTTCGTTACAGGTGGAGGCTGCAGTGCTAATGTTGTTGTCGGTGTTGTTTACTTCTTTGTAGTATCGTCGTTTCTGTTGTGCTGTTGCTGTCATAGGAACACCAACAGCAATGGCAACAGCAGCAACACCAGCAGTGCCATCAACAACAAGGGGTCAAAATAGCAGCAGCATTAAGACTAGCACAACATAAATATAGAAATAACGACAGCCAGACTAAGACTAGCGCTAATGCAACGAGGGCGACCATAATGATAGCCAGACGAGCCATGGCAGTTAGATTGATATGGAAGACCAGCGCAGCAATAACAATAACAATATCAAAATAATAGACAGCCAGAGGCAGGCATGCATGTCATGTCATGTGCCACTTGAACAGCGGCCATGTGTGCACCACTTGATCAGTGGCTGTGTCGTGATATGCCGTGCGCCACTTGAGCAGCGGCCATGATGTGTGCCACTTGAGCAGCGGCCATGCATGACATGAAACCAACACTGAAATGCATGCATGACGACTCCTGAGGCCTGGATGACAAAGCTCCCCCGTTGCTGAATGATCTGACAGGGGGGACAAAGAATTTACGTGTTCTGTAAGGCTCGTGAAAGAGATTAAGGGTTAAGGGGTTTAGGGCTTATAAGGCCAAGGTTCAGCGAGTTTCTTTAGAGGTAAGAAGTTTAGGATTAAGAGGTTTAGGGTTTAAAGGGTAAGGTTTCAGGGAGTTCCTATAGAGGTCAGAGGTTCAAGTTGAAGGGGTATCACTAGGGTTTAAAGGGTAAGAAGGTTTCATTTCAGGGAGTTCCTATAGAGGTAAGAGGTTTAGGTTGAAGGGGTTTAGGGTTCACAGTAAGGTTTCGGGAGTTGCTTCAGATGTGAGCTTTCCAAAACAGGGTTTCGGTAGTCTTATTACAGTAAAGTAAAGTATGTTTAAAGGCTTAGGGTGTAAGAATGTTAATTATGCTTGTTATCAAAAAATGCACACCCTGCCACATGTGATGTAGTTACTCTACTAATGATGTCATCACATATGGAAGTGGAGTGCATTTTTTTGCTAGGTCCAAAATGTTACTGCCACTGAGAAATGGACACAAAATACCGCTGAAGCCCTAGGGATGTATGAAATTGTCGCATGATCTTCTAAAAGCAGTTGTAAAAATCTGGGATGCAAATATTCCTTGATGCTTTCAAAGTCTGATCACCTTTTTTCGGCCGTCCTGCCCCCCCCCCCTCTGTCCCCAGGGGTCGCATAAAGCATGACACAACAAAGCCCTAACATCCCAAACGGCCCCCCCAAGCACCTTCCATGTCAAAACAACAACCCAAATCCAGGCTACAGGAAACAAACACCAGGCTACAGGAATCAAGCAACAGAGGTTGTTTGTTGTTGTTGTGGTGGCTGTGGTTGTTCCGGTTCCGGTTCTGCTGGCCCTGCGTGCTCGTCTGCCTGTGTTGGTGGTGGCTGCCCCCCCTCTGCTGGTGCTTCATGGTGGCTGTGGTCGTCGTGGGGTGGTTGTGGTGTGGCCTCTGGAGTGTAGAAGTGGGTTGGTGTGGTTGTGGTGAATTGGATGCTCCAGTGCGTAGACGTGCGGAGCAGGAGGAACTGGTCCCCCACCTGCAGTGCCAGGCTCTGGTCTTCGTGATGGTGGACTGGCGGCACTTGAGTGACGGTGGCGAGCCAGCGGCGTTCCGACACCGGCTCAAGCAACAGCCAGGTTTCACCGCTGATGGGCGGGTAGACAACGACGGGCATGCTTGTTTGTGGTGGTGGTGTGGTTCCCCCGCTGCTGGTAAGGACGTCTTGTTGGTACTCTATCCGGCTGAGCCACTTTCCGGCTCGCAGGACCGTGTGGGTGACAGTGGTGATGCTTGAGTGAGGTAGAGGTGGTGGTGCCGAATGTTCCCCTCCTAGTGAAGGAGGGCGGGGTGGTTGTGACTGTTCGCCCTGTGGTGGTGTCTGACGTCTTGCTGGGTAGTAGCTGGTGGCTGGTGTGGGTGCTGTCCCAACGTCGCTGTCGTCTGGGTGCCAGTGTGGTGTGTGTGTGTGTGTGTGTCTGCCTTAGTGGGTTCCTGTTGGTGGGTGGTCGCGTGATCGCCGGCGTCTGCTCTGGGTTCCTCCTGTTGTGGTTGAAGGTGAGGTGGTAGTGGCTGACCCGGGTTGAGCATCCGGTAGTAGGCTGCCCTTTCGGCTAAGCTTAGCTGTGGGGGCTGCCATGCGCGTTGGGCCGGGGCCTCGTCGTCAGGAGGTGTGTTTGCAGGCTGGTGGTGGGTAGGCTGCTGTGGTGGAGACGGGCCTTGGCCTAGGAGGTGTTGCCCCCACCGTGTGTGGTGGAGGTTGTTGGCCTTTAGCCATCGCTTGATGCGATACTTCTCTGCTTTGTTTCTCGTGCGGTCAGGGCCTCCCCCCTCATGCTGCCGGTGCTGTACTCTGATGGGCTTCTGTGGGGCTCTGCGTTGCGAGCTGCGCCTGCGTGGTGTGTGGATGTCACCCCCTTGATGTGCTGCTGTTGCTGGCGTCTCGGGGAAGTGAGGCAAGAGCTCTCGCTCGATATAACTTGCGGGGATTTCCCCCGTGGTTATCCATACGTAGTGTTCACGCATGGTCATTCCTGGAATAGCACGCGTGCCACCAGGCGGCAAGCGTGTGCCCGTCACCGCTTCGAAGGGAGCTTTGACGTTGAGGCGCGGCTGCGTGTCTCCCACAGCTGTGGGTGCGGTCTGCGGTTGCTGTTCTCCCCCGCTGGGTGGGCCTTGTTGCGTGCCCTGTTTCCCGGCCGCTCCTGTTGCTGGTGGTGCGTGCTGGACGTCGGCTTGTTGTGCTGTAGCGGCTGGCTCAGGTTGTGGTGCGGCTTGTGGGAGGTGGGCGCTGCCGGGGTCTTGCGTGGTCTGTGTCTGCTGTGGCATCGCCGGCGTGGTAGGCTGGTAAGCTGCCCAGGGGTCAGTGTCGGGGTTGTATGTGCTTGCGTAGGCCACGCCATGGGGGCCGTGCGGCCGGACGGGGGCTCCTGTGGCTTGTGGTGCTTGTTGTGGTGAATCGGTGTCGGCTGGTGGGTCAATGAGATCTCGCAGGTTCTTCTGTGTATCGTAGTATGCGAAACCGTGGTCTGCCGCTAGCTGCGCTGCCGTGTAGGGTTGCTGGCTCGCCTGTTGCTGTTGTTGTTGTTGTTGTTGTTGCTGGAACATTTGGGCCAGCCCTCGGGCCACCGTCCTTGCCGGGTTGTCCGGCGGCTGACTCGTGAGGAGAAGGACTCCGGACCGCTGGCTCAGCTGTGGTTGTGGTTGTGGTTGTTGGGTGGCTGTCCCACCTGTGGTTGCCTGCTGTGGCAGTTGCCACTGAGTCCCATCTGTCGGCTGCGACTGCATGTGTTGTAGTGGGGGTGTTCCCCCGGTGACAGGTGGGCTCTGGTACGGCTGTGGCCACATCATATGGTTGTGGTTGTGGTTGTTGCTGTTGCCAGTGGTACTGCTGTTGCTGTGGTGGTTGAGCTGCCGTGGTGTTGAAACTAAAGGCTTCTCAAGCCTTCCTTCCCACTCTACTTTCAAACACACTTTTCTCACTTCGCGGGCTGACTTCCTTAAGCCTCCGTGTCGCGGTTCACACACATGTTTCATGTGTTCTCGTGATTACTCTACACACTCTACTTGGGACTACGTGCACTAGGTTACAAACGAACACCCCGCCTCAGAAAGTTCTTGCGGGTTCCTAGGGTGTTCTTGGAAACTGCTAGGGCTTTCTGTACAGTGCTTTTGCTAGGGACTTTCGTCTCCGTTGTTCTTGGTCTTTTACCTAGCTGCACTCCTGCCCTGTTGCTACTTAGGCCTTCTATGTCTGTACATTGGCCTTCTTGAAAAACCTACTCTGTATGTACAGCTACATTCTAGTTAGGTCCAGCCTATGGACTCTTTGCGGGGAGGCCCGTACCCCGGTTTCCTTCTACCCTTACTTAGCCTACGGGCTTTTCTTCTTTCGGGCTTCTTTTCTTTGTTCTTGGCTTCTCCGGCTTCTTGCCTCTTCTGGCCCTTGTACCTTCCTAGCCTGCCTTTTGTGAAACTTCTTGTGAGACTTTGGAAGGTTGTAGCTTACCTAGGCTTACTGCCTCAGTTTGCTACGTCTATACATTTGCTCACACTTTGTACATGAATTCTTGTGCTAATATACATCAAGTCTTACGTTGCTTAGCTATGTACATATGTACAAGCGTTCACTGCTTGACCTGCTCGATCATCCCTTCTCGGGATCCTTTCACTGGGTCTGTGCCCAGTTCTTGGACTTCTTGCCTTTACCCTTTCCTTTGGGTGTCCACTGGTCCCACTGGTTCTGCTGCGCCCACTCTTCTGGCGTCTGCCAGTAGCCTTTGTTGTGCGGGTTCGCGTTCTCGTACCAGTTGCTGCCGTCGTCGGTGGTGCTCCAGTTCTCGTTGTTCCACTGCTCGTTGTAGTACCAACCGTCGTTCTGTCCGTCGTCCCAGGAAGGGCCTTTTCCCTTCGTTCCTTGGTTGTCTTGCTTGCCTTTCGCGTGGATGCGTCGCTGCACCTCTTCCTCGATCTTCTCGTTCTCCTTGGTCTCGAGGAATTTATCCAATTCCTTTCCGTCTGTAAACCAAACGTTGTGCTTCCTGTAACACTCTGTCACCTTGTTCCAGAGCATGCGTCCCTTGACAGGCGCATTCTTGATTCTCGCTGCACCTTTCTTGTCTTCACACTTCGCGCGGTACTCTTGCGTTTTCTTGTTGAACTCCCACACGTAGCCAAGCTGCGTGAACTCGGCGATGTCGTTCGGGTCGACGGTAGTTTCGTCTCCTTGGTTGCTTGACGGCTTCTCTTCTTGGTCTTCTGTCTCTACCTGCTTTGGCCTTTTTCCTTTCTTCTTCTCTTCCTCTTTTGCCTGCGCTTCTTTCTTCTCTTTCTCTTCTTCTGCTTTGCTCTTGTACGCTTCTTCTGTCTCTTCTTCACCTTCGCTTCCAGACAAGGTTGCACCTAAGGTTTCCTTGAGGCTTTTGACCTTCTTCTTGTACTTCACGATCTTGTCCTTAGCTGCAAGTAGAAGTGCGTCCACTTCCTGTGAGTAACCTTTGAAGTACTGGTAGTCGTCCTTGAGGCTCTTGTAGTCGTACTGGAGGTCGTCGAGCTTTTGGTTCCTTACTTTCTCTTCTTGCTTTAGCACTTTAAGCTCTCTCTCCAAGTCCTTCTTTGCATCGTCAACGTACTTCTTGGCGTACTCTTCTCTCTCCTGGTCGTAGCCGGCGGTTCTTTCCTGGGCTTTTCTCTCTCTCTTCTCTGCCTCTTTCTTCTTCTTTTCAACCTCTGCTTCCTTTGCTTTGACGTTCTCCTCAGCTTCTTCAAGGGCTGTCTCCTTCTCGCTTAAGAACTTGGCTTGTCCTTGGAGGGTCTCTTGGTCTTTCTCTAACTTCTCTTCTCTTTCTGTAACTTTGTCTTCCTTTTCCTTCACCTCCTTCTGCTTCTTCAAAAACCTTTTCACTGTCTCCTCAAACTCTGTCTTCTGGTTTCCAAACTGCTCCTTCTCCTTCTCCAGGTTTTCTTCCTCCTTCTTCAACTTCTCTGCTCTCTCTGTCACTTCTTTCTTTGCCTCGTCGAAGGAGTCCACGTCGTAGTTCACCTGAGCGGCAGGAGCTTCGTCTCTTTTCTTCCTTCGGTTCTTCTTCTTCTTTTCCTTCTCTCCACTTCTGCTTCCTGAGCTGCTTTCCTCTTCTTCACCGCTGCTCCTCTCTTCTCTCTTCGGCTTCTTGTGCTGCTGTGGCTTTCTCATCTCGTTCACGACAAACCATGCCGCCATGCACACCATGGCGAGCGTCACCAGGACTTCCAGAAGCGACATGCTTCCAGGACTGCTTGGGACTTCTTGTGGGCTTGCTACTTCTTGAGCTGCGGCGAAAGGTACGTAGACTGCCTCAGTCTTTCCAAACAAACTTGAAAGTGCAAACAACATGCTGCTTTTGTTCTTCATGATCTTCTCGAGTCTTCTTACCACTTGTGCCTTTTCTTCTTCCTCTCGCTCTTGCTCTCCAACTCTTCCTTCGCTGTTGCACATGCCGATCATGTTCAGGAGAAACTTCACTCTTTTCGTGCTGAGAGGCTTTGTTCCTAGGTCTGCTGTGTTCTCCTTTGTACCAACTGCGTGTACAGTAAGCTTGCCTTCACGTATTGCTGCTTGTAGCCAAAGTAACCGAATCTGTAGGTGCTTGACTCTTCCTGTTCCTTGGCGGTTTGTGATTCCGCGGCATGCGGAACTGTCTGTGTATGCTTTGAGTAGTACTCGTTCTCCTGTAAGGAAACGAACTGCTGCGTGTAAACCTATTCCTTCGCTTGCTGCTCCAGTAAGTGCCATGTATTCTGCTTCTGCTGAAGATAATGCTATCGACTTCTGTGTCCTGCTGTAGCTGTAGAAGTATGCACCGTCCAGGTAGAACATGGCGCAACTCACTGACTTCCTAGTCTGCTTGTCTCCGGCCCAGTCGGAGTCGCTAAAAACTTCCAGCAAACGTTCGCGTGGTTGTTCTCGAGGTTCTCGTAGTTCTTGTGGTTCTTCGGCGCGATGACGTAGAGCTGACGTTCCTGGGCTGTTCCTGTGGTACGTAACGGCGTAGTCTGACGTTCCTTTGAGGTAGAGCGCCAAGTGCTCCAACTCCTTTCTTTTACGTTCCGTTGGCTTCGTCATGGCAGTACTGAGGCTACGTACTGCGAACTGAATGTCCGGACGGTCGTGCGCTACGTACAGCAAAATGCCGACACAACTTCTGTACGTTCTCGAGTGTTCCTCGTCCAGTTCTTGGGATACGTCAGGTTCCTGACTAGCCGGTGTGCAGGGTGAGTTCTTGGCCTTCTTCTTCTCCAGCTTGAGGATCTCCACGAGTTTCTTCACGTACTTGCTATCGCTATGTACTCGTAGTTCATGTTGTTCGTACGTGTACTTCCTTTTGAGAAACTTCACGGTCTCCTCAGAAAATCCTTTCTCGTAGTCTTCCTCATTCAGAAGAGGTCCTTCAACTTGTAGGTTCACTTTCTTCTTGAGGTTCCTGAGGATTGGTTCGATGACTTCCTTCTTTCCTGCAAACTGCAAGTCATCTACGTGCACAATGCAAACTGCAACCACTTTTCCTTGCCGTAGAAGACGGTAAAGTGCTGGAACTGCAGTACAACGCTCAAACTTCTCTTCCACCAAAAGACCATCACAAAAGTCTGACCAAAGACTGGATGCGTCGCGTTGACCTGGCAAAACTCTTCCTAACTTCCAACACCAAGTTCTAGGGTTGCGTTCTTGTTGTTCCTGCATTGCTTGTACAACGTGAGCTGCTTCTTCAGGTACTCGACACAAACAAGGTGTTCTTTGAGGGACTTGTAGAAACGCGTCCTTCACGTCGACACTGTAGATCGCCCAATGGTTGGCGAGAGCCAACATGGGCACCAGTTTTGTGATTCCTGGGCTTGTCGCAGGAGAAAATATATCTTCCCTTTTTCCTTCTGTCTTGTATTCTCTGGCTACTAGTCTGGCACGTCGTTGCCAGCATCTTTGAATCTGCTTGGGCTTTGTTGTTCCTTCTTTGGCTTCTTCAGCTTCAAAACCTGTAGCTTCTCTGAACCTCCAATCTTTCACCAACTTCGTTGTCAACCACTTGTGAAGTTCTTGCTCTGAATCTACCAGAGGTACGTTCTCAGTTGCTTCCTGAGGGTCTGTAGAAACCAACGAAATAACTCCCATCTTTGTTAACCTTTTGATTTCTTTGACTGTAGCTTCATCGTCCAACTTCTGAAGAAAAGCCGGATCCACGTTCGGTGGTCCTTTCTCCTCGTCGAAGAACTCGACAGGGACCTTGGTAGAAACTTCCGTTGGTTCACTCTCTGTCTCCTCTTCTTCTTCTTCCGACTCGTACACAAACTCATCATCTGCTTCGTAGACTTCATCATCATGAGGCATGTTGAGGTAACCGTCTGTTTCCTCTGCTCTGTTAACTTGCTTTCGTAGCTTGCTGGGTGAGCTTGGTTCCTCAAGCTCAAGACTGTGCTTGCTTGCTTCTGCTCTTGGTTCAGCTGGTGCTGAAAGTGCTTCTGCTGAGGCTGTAAGTGGCTCGACTGCTCTGAGTTCCTCCAAAAGGGTCTCGTCATCAACTTCAGCTCTTCTTTTCCTGTCTCTCGTCACACTCATGCTGCTGGCTTCACTTTGTTCCTCTCTGTCTTCAAGTGCTTGTTGCTGCTCTTCACTGCTGTCCTCCGAACTCGGAGGGTCGCTAGCGGCCTCGACGTTCTCGAGCTGTTCGCGTTCTTCCTCGGCAACAGGGGGCAGGATGCTTAGCTGTGGTCGTTGTCTTTGCTTCTTCTCTGGAAGTACTCTTGCTCCAAGGAGTGGCGTGTTGAGGTTCCAGGTATGGACCTCTATGTTGCTTGTTCTTTTGGAGTCGTACTGTTCTGGTAGTGGTCTCACGCTGCGTGTGATATGTATGCCATCAGGCTGTGCAACGATCCATGTGTCTTGCTCTGTCTTGCCTAAAAATATTCCTGCATTCCATATCCTGTCACCTTTCTTCTTGATCTTCAACCTCTTCGCCATCACAACAGTACCAAAGGGTACAAGTTTCCCTGAGTAGGGGTATCCGTGGATAACTTCCTGTGGCGTTCTTCCTGTGGAGCTGCTCACTGCGAACCTGTTGAGTAGCCAGCAGGCGTGTCTAAACGCCCAGCTTACTACTGCGTGCTCGTGTGGTATCGCCAGCTGTGTTCTTTCTCTGAGTTCATCGAGAATGGTGTTCGCTTGCCTCCGTACTGTTTGTATTGCTCTTTCTGCGGCTCCATTGCTTTCGTGGTCGTAAGGAATGCTTTCCTGTAGTGTTGTAGAAAGTCCAAGGCTGCTGCGTACTTTCTGTACTTTGTCCTTGAGTGCTTTGGCTGCGTTCTCATTGTCTGCTTTGAGAACGAGGGTGTTGTACCCGAGCTGAGTGGTGAACTGCACGAGTGCTTCCGCGAGATGCGTTGTGCTTCCTGCTCCTCCTTTCCTCTTGCAGGGCACCGCCAAGACTGCCTTGCTCCAGCTGTCCACAGCGACAAGAGTCACTGCTGGTGGCTCTTCACTTCCTGTGGTGCTTGTATAGCAAAAGTCAAAACTGATGACGGGCTTCGCGGAATCCGTAGAGCTGCTTGGCTTGCTCAATCCTTTCTTGTGGTTGTCTTCTCGTGCTTTCATAGCAACGCAATGGGGACACCAAGGCTGATACGGAAGGTGCGTCAAGTTGTGGTACGCTCTCTCCTCTTCCGTTGGTTCCTGTGGTGGTGCTAGGTGGTATGCTTGGTGGTGTTCCCGTTGTTCCTTGTGTTGCGTGCTGAGCCTTTCTTCTCTGACTGCTGTGGCGAGTCTCTTCAAGAGCTGCTTCTTGCTTCCTGTTGTCTTCACTCTGTACTCTCTGCAAAGTGCTTGTAGTTCCTTAAGACTGCTTTTCTGCGCTGTGTACTCGACGCCTTCGTGGTAGAAGCTTTCCTCCAAAACTTCAACAACTTCTTGTGGTGCTTCTTGGTCTGCTTGTGCTTCTCTCATTTCCTCATCTTTGCTCTCTTCTGCTGCTGGTGGTGCTGCTGAATCTTCCTTCTCTTTGTAGTGTTCTTCCTTCTTCTTCTTTAGCTCCTCTGCTGCAGCTTCTGCTTTTAGGTCTTCAACAACTTCTGGCTTCACACGGAACCTTGTTTGACCAAACCACGGCAAACGAAAGTGTTCACGTAGAGGTAGGCGGTCTGCTCTCCAGTCGTCGCTGTGTTCGTAGATCTCCGTACTGTAGATGCAGTCTCCTTGGGTATACCTGCTGTTCTCAAGATCTCCAAGGAGGACAGGACAGTTGGCAACTCCTGTCGGGTCAAACAGCACAGTTCTCGGTACTACGTGGTGACGAACAACTTCTCCTTTCTCGAGGTCCATTTTCCAGTAGTCACGACCATGACTTTCTTGCTCTGCTCGGTCTCCAGCTGCGTAAGGGGTGCCAAGGATCCAAAGTGGAATTGGCTTTGCTGAAATGGCTGTAACCACTTCCTTTTCTCCTTCTGCAAACTCTTCAAAAGGGTCTGCCTTCTCGGAGTACTTCTTTGAAACTTCAACTGCTCTCCATCCTCTCTCTTCTTTCACCAAAGTGCTTCTGTACGGAAAGTGCGTAGGGCTATACATGAGAGATGGGTTCTCGTAGCTGCTTTGAGTGGCGTACTTGACGATCACCATGCTGTCTGTGTTGTGCCAACCAGGTTCTTCTTTGTTCACTGCTTCCTGAACGTGCTTGTTGAGCTGAACAACTGTCCGAACCATCTTGTAGTTGTTGCTGCTGTAACTTCTGCTTCTTGAAGGAGTTTGTACGTAGGCGTAGGCTGCCAAGCTGTTCTTGTGGAGATGCACTGGTATTCTTGAGCTTCCGTCTGTAAGACACATACCTTCTTCTTCGTTCACTCGCAACTCCCAGCCTTCTCGAAACAGCTTGCCTATGGCCATCAGGGGGTTGATCACCGAGGCAACGGTGAAGGCTTCCTGGATGCGACAAAAGCTTCCGTCGTCATCAAAGAACGTTAAGTTCAGCATCCTTCTGCCTTCCGTCTTGATTGCTTTTCCTTGTGCGTCCTGAATGGACGAAGGGCGAACCTTCAAAGGGGTTCCTTCTTTTCCTAGCCAAGAGGGCACAAGAGAAACGTCTGCGCCAGAATCCAGGATAACTTCAATTCTTTGGTGAAGATCACTTTCCTGGAAAAACTCTTCCTCTACAACGCGTACTGAAAGAACTTCTTGTGGTGGTAGTGCTTCACGTCCAAGGTACCAGTTTAGTAGAGGATCTTCTTGCTCTTCTTCGCTCTCTTCTCCTTCTGACAAAACAAACTCTTCAGCTTCCGTCACTCTCAAGACTCTTCCAAAGTACTCGATCTCGAGCTCTTCTTCGTCTTCGTCAAGTTCAAAAACTTCAGGATACGTGACGGGATCGTTGTCCATGTGGTACATCGCGATCTGCCGAACTGTTGGCTTAGCTGTAGACTTCGTGCTTGTAGTTCTTGTTGTTGTGGCTGCCGAAGCGCTACTGCTTGGAACTGTAGTAGGTTGTGTCCTGACGCTTTGTTCGTCTTCCTCCTGTGCGTTCCTGACGTTCTGCTGCATGTCTCTCTGCTTGAGTCTGCAATTGGCTTCGTAGTGTCCAGGCTTTTGGCAGTAGTGGCAAACAGCAACTCCTGGGTTGTTGTATCCTTTACCTTTTCCTTTGCTGCTGTAGCCTTTTCCCCCGCCTTTGCCATATCCTCGGCCTCTGCCTTTTCCTTTTCCTTTTCCTCGTCCTTTTCCTTTTCCTCGGCCTTTGTAGTAGTACTGGCTTTCTCCTTTTCCTTTTCCTTTACCGAAGCCTTTGCCTTTGTACTTGCCGAATCCTTTTCCTTTCTTTCCTTTTCCCTTATCTTTTCCTTTGCCTTTCCACCATTCAACTCGTGAAACATCCATGTCTGCTTGTCCTTGGTGGTCCTTTCCTGAGTTGATGAGGTCTGTGGTAGTCCACCTTGCTGCTTGCTCGTAGGAGAGGAGGTACTGTCGTAGTGTTCCATACTTTGTGGTCTCCTTCTGGTTGAGTAGAAGATGTTGTCTCATGTTCCCTTCGGTTCCTCCAAGTATGATGGAAATCTTCATGTCGTCCGCAACAAGGTCTCCACTCGCTCTCTCGTACTCTTCAATCAACTCTTCAAACTTCAGGATATTTTCTTGTGTTGACCTTTGCTTGTCGAACCTGTAGTGAAGAACTCCGTTAAGTAGTTGTAGAGAACGTGCACGGTTGTGAGGCTGATGTTCTTCCACCAACAACCTCCATGCTTCGAAACCGTTCTCGTTGGGTACTTGCTTTAGAGTTCGTAGAGGACGGCCACGTGTATAGCTGGTGAGGATGGAATGTAGCTTTCTTGAAAGTGCTTGTTCACCTGGGTTAAGTTTACTCCATTCCCATGATGCTTCTCTTCTATCCATCTCGACTGCGTTGATCTTCTCAAGGATGTCGTTGTTGAGAGCGCCTATCCAACTTCTCAGCTTCAACCGAAACTCTAGAAAACCATCACGCTCTTCCTTGTACGTAGTAGGGCCAAAGACTTCTGGAGATTTGATCATCTTGTGGAGGTCGATCTCTCCTGGCCTTCTTGACTCTGCGTGCTGCGACAGTGCTGTAACTGCGTCTGCTGTAAGCTTTCCTGTTGCTGCAACCGCGTTTGCAGTAAGCTCTGCTTGTTGTGACAGTGCTGTGTTGGTTGCTTGGGTTGCTTCTGTAATTGCTCTCTGCTGTTGTGAAACTGACTGCGCGAGTTCCTGTAGTTGTTGTGAAGCGGTACCTGCCTGCGCTTGCTGACTGTTCATTGCTTGGGCAAGTGCTTGTATCTGTTGTGTGTTTTGGGCAGTGAGGTCCGTGAGCCTTTGCAAGGCTTCCTCCATCGCAACTGCACTCTGCATGTGACTGTAAAGCAACACAACATGCAACCAGACTCGCTTCTTGAAAAGAACGCTGCAAACTGACCTGTGCAACTTCCTTCTCGAAACTTTCTTCTTCAACTGTTCTCTTTTTGTTTGCTTAACTCTGACCCAAAAATAGAGGTAGATCCAAGTGACCATACCAAGCGGGGTCCCAAGTAGAAGTAGTACTGGGTGACACGTGCGCACGACGTAGCTCACGACGGGCTCAAGGCTTCTTCCTGCTTTCGCAAGGTACTCTTGAAACTCCAAAACCAACTCAAACACAAGGTTCTTGTAGTAGTTCACGTGGGGCACTTCTTCGTTCTTTAGGTTCTCGTTATACTCCGCGACATCACCTTCATGAAAACTGTAGTTGCAACTTTGTTCCTTTTCTTCTGTTCTTGTAGAACTCGGAGTACACGTTCGTCTTCTTGAGGTAGCTCGTGACGTTGATCTCGTTCTCGTTCTCGGTTTGGTATTGGGCTCATGTAGATGCGACCACAACGTGAAAAGTTCTGTGTGATCACCTTCTTGGCTCTTCCCGGCAGGTACAACATCCGCTGGGGTAATCTCCTTTATCACATGCTTCTTCTTGGGGTTCTTGTTGTCGAGGCTGAGGACCTTGTTCCTGTAGTTCAGCATGCGGTTCGTGGCCAACGGGTAGCCGTAGGTCTCGTTCACTTCAAACACCATGAACCATGACATGCCCATGAGAACCACAACCATGAAGACTTTTAGCCAAAGGTACTTTCCTGCTGCTTCCAAAAAGGTTCTCTTGTACTCGAAGGTGCGTTGCTCCCGGGATCGGAGTCCGCCGGGACAGCAGTACTTGCATGGTAGTACTCGGTGTACACTAGTTGCGTTCCTGAGGCCATGACATCTTCCTGAGGTGTGGGTCTTCTCTCCGTAAGGCGAGTACCAGAGTTCTGGTAACTCTTCCTCAGCTGGAGCTACGCGCTCCACTGTCTCCTTTCTCACAAGTTCTTTCACAAAGCTTCTCGCCAGACACATCAGCGAAAAAGCCAAAGCCAAGGAAACCATGGCGACAGCTACCTGTTGTTCCTGTGATAGCTTCATCGCTCCCAAGAGGTCTGAATCAGGGAGCTCCGCTACCATGTTGAAACTAAAGGCTTCTCAAGCCTTCCTTCCCACTCTACTTTCAAACACACTTTTCTCACTTCGCGGGCTGACTTCCTTAAGCCTCCGTGTCGCGGTTCACACACATGTTTCATGTGTTCTCGTGATTACTCTACACACTCTACTTGGGACTACGTGCACTAGGTTACAAACGAACACGTGGACGTTGAGGCCTGGGCTTGAGCTTGGGTGTGGTGGTAGTAGGTGGTGTGAGCGGTGTCGGCTGCGGGCTGGTGTGCTCCTCCGCTGGGGGCTGCGGCTTGTTGCGGGAGCGTGCTTGCTGTTGGCTGATGTTGTGCGCCTTGCGTAGCTGCAGGTGTGTGATGGGCCCACGTGTTTGCCCCTCTTTGGTAGTCGGCACCGTGGTTGGCTGCAGGTGTGTGCTGCATGGGCATGTAGCCCGCCGTGCTTGGTAGGCTTTGTGGTTGGGCATGTCCCGGCAGGAGATGGCCTGCTGCTCCCCCCGCGCGGTGCTCACTGGTGACGGTCGTGGGAAGTGTCCCTCCTGCCGTGGCAGTCTGCTCAGGGGCTCGTGGTGGGAGCGGTCCGGCTCCCCTCGTTTGCCTCGTACCGCCTGGTTCCCCCATGCGGGTGCCTCGCCGTGTGTTCCCCCAGACCAGTCGTCTGGGCCGTAGTAGCTTGCCGATCCCGTCGGCGGGTTCAGGAAGAGCAGGCTCCCCGCTGCAAAGCAGAGCAGCGTAGTCCCTTTGGAGACCATGGTGAGGTCTAGGAGTGGGGCCTTTGGGAATCTGAGCTGTCGCTGCTGCAGGCGCTCTGAGATCCGTGCCGCTGGCATGGTCGCTGACTGAAGGCTGCACTGCAAGTGACATGACAAGTGGGCAAGCAGGCAGGCACAACGACATGTAACTGCTCTCTCCCCTCTGCTGTATGCGAGTGGTAGGTGTAGTCTCTCAGGCCGTCCCTTCACACGCTACCCCTCCACTGAACTGCTTGGTAAAGGTTTGCTTTTATTGCCGAAGTGCTGGTCTGCTTGCCCTCCCCCCTCTGTGGCTGTTTGGTGTGAGGTTGTCTTGTATGCTTGTTTGCTTCCCTGTCGCCCACGGCACGTCGTAGCGCTCAACAAAGGTCGTAGACAAGGATTGCCAGTGTGCCCGGTCCTGGGCTGCTTCCCCCCAGCGCGTTCCCCCCATGCTCTCCAAGGCTCTCTCGACGTCTGCTTCCGGATTGAATCGGGCTGCATGGTTGACTCTACTGCTGCGCGGTTTGCGTTGTTCTTTGCGCCAGAAGGCCAGATTTTTCCACTGGACCATGGCGTTAACCTCGGCTCCCCCTCTAGCCATGTGTCCCCACAGGGACCAGATTTGCTGCAGGATGTATGTGGACCAGCGGTTCCAGCCCCCCCTCTGTAGGTGGAGTCGCGCCAGCCGGAGCGATCGGATATGCCAGTCCGCCCACTGTTCGGTGGGCCGCCTCTCTATGTGCAGCATGCGCCGCAAGTGTTGTGCTTGCAAGGAATTTGCTGCTTTCAGTATGCGCTGGTTGACTGGCCATGTTTCAGCTGCATATAGCGCTGCCGATCGAACTAGCGTGGTGTATGCTGCCATTCTTGCTCTCAGGCCCGTGCGTGCAAGTAGGATGCTCTTGTGCTTGGCGAAGGATTGTCTCCCCCGTCGGCACATTTCTGCAATGATCGCTGCCGTCTGCTCCCCGAAGGTGATGGGGGAACCCAGCGTCGCGATGACGGTTTTGTGGTCAGCGCACGGTACTGTGGCGTTCCCTATTTGGAAGGTGCCTCCCCCTTCTGGCTGGCTAAACAGGATAGCGGTCTTGGTGGGGTGGATGTGGAGGCCGTCCTCTGCGAGCTCTGTTTCAAGGTTCCGCAAGAGGCGCTGCAAGTGGTTGCGGTCCTGCGACCAAAGGTAGGTATCGTCGAGGAAACATCCCCCTGCTCGGGGTGGGATGCCGTTGGTTTGGGGCACTGGGGCGATTGTGTCCCCCACCGCTACATTGAGGGTGCGGGTTTCGAGAATGCTGAGCCACATGAGGGCCTCCCATGGTTGGTCCCCCCCGCCTGCTGGGACTGGGCAGCGCGTGGATGGTATTCCCCCCACACGCGACGCAACAAGCTCACTCATACTATGCTGCCAGACACTATCAAACGCTTTTCGTATGTCCAGTTTGACAAGCCATGTGGGAACGCCCCAGTCTTTCGCCATTTGCGTCACCCGCCTTATTGTTGCAACCAATTCCACCCCTTGCCTGCCTTGCCGCGCCCACTGGAGTCGCGCCTCCCCCCTGATGTTTGCTCCCCCTCTTGCCAGGAGCAGTTGTGCTGCCAATTTGAGCAGGGTGCTGCTGAGGGTAATGGGCCGTGTGTCTGTCCATTCAAGGGGGGTGGGCACTTTGGGTAGGAGCACCGTGATCCCCCGATCAATGGCTTCGGGGACCCGGGCCGTGTAGAGCATGTCGTTGAGGACGTAGGCGATGGTCCCCCCCCATTTGTCGTGGTAGAGTAATGCTTTGGTGGCTTCGTGGGAGATGCCGTCCGGTCCGGTGCTTTTGTTGCTCCCCCACCGTTGAGCTGCAAGCTGTAGCTCTGCAAGTTGGAAGGGGCGCCATGGAGTGAGCTTGCATTTGCGGCGCAGTTGGTCCCGCAGTGTTGCAATGCGCGCATTTCCCCCGGGGGGCAGGGGTTTGGCAAAGATGGACCGCATATGTTTATGCAGTTGGGTCTGCCAGTCTGGGTTGTCCTGGAGGTGCAGTTGCCATCCTCGGTGTGTCCTGGCTTTCTGGAGGGTACGAAGGGAGCGCCAGTCGAGTTGTGAAGCCTGTTCGGCTTGCTTGGTGTTCCATGCTCGGTGCTCCTGTTTGTGACGTTTTGCAACGGCCTTCCACGCCAGTCTGGCTGCGGGGCCGGGCCGGCACTGTTGGGCTGCCTGTCGCATCCCCCGAAGCTCGTGGCTCTCCTGGAATTTGTTGTGTCCGCTGCCGGGAGTGGTGATTGCCTTGGCGAGCGTGGCGAGGACTTTGTGCGGGTCTTCTCGCCTGGGGGGCGGAATCGCAAGCAGTTGCTCTACTTGGTGGGGCGGGCGCAGCCGTCTGGGTCCCCATGTGGTGCGGGTGGAGCCTCCCCCTTTATGTGCCCCAATGGGCGCTGCCACGCCGTCGTGGTCGGACGATGCTCTATCACGGCAGGGGATGACTTTCCCAGCGCCCGCCGTAATCCCCCGAGCCATGATGTAGTCCAGTCTGCGCGGTTGCATGCTGTGGTTGTAGGGGTAGTAGCTGGGGACGTGGAGCTGTTGTGGGGGTAGTGTGAAGCCGTGGCGGTTGGTCCAGTCCAAGATGGCCTCCCCCCGTCCTGAGGTGGCGTAGCATCCTGACACGTGGGTGAGTGGTGGGGTGAAGGTCTCATTGGCGTCTAAGCCCAGGAGGCAGCGCGGCTGGTCCCCCAAGTTGCTTTCCCATTCGGCAAGTATGCTTTCAGTCTGTGGGATGGTCGCGCGGTGCGGGATGTGTCCCGCATGTGCTCGAACTGTGTTCTTGTTAGTGAGGCTTTGCAGTGTGGTTGTCACCCCCCCGGTGCAGACTTGGCTTCGGTGGTGTGTGCAGTGCTTGGTCTGGTGTGCTATGCACTCCCCTCGGAATTCCCCGATGCATTTACCGTACACTAGCTGCCATGTATCCGACTCTGAATGAAAGAGGCCTGGGTCGCAGATAATTTCCTGCACCAGGACAAGTGTAACGCAGTTCAGGTCCGGGCTGCCGTCGAAAGTGTCCAGGAGTTTCAGCAAGTTGTCTGCTGTCAACCCCCCGACATTCCACGCCATTGCCCAAGTTTGGCCGGGCATCTTTCCCCCCTCGGCCTGGGGGTGAAACGTTGTCGGCTCGTCCGTGGCTCAGTTGATCTCCGCCTTAAGCGGAGACCATGTGGCAGCGGTGGCTTCCTTGGTGGTGCGGGTTGCCTTAGCGATCGCGGCAATGTCCACCCAGCCTGGTCCAGCCTCTTCTGTCCCCCCTGGCCGTGGCGCGGTTGCTGAGCATACCTTGACGCTGTTGACCCATGCGCTGCCGGTGCTGAACTCCATTTGAAGCGCCCCCAACGTGAGGTACAAGCGCTTCACTTTTGCTGCAAGTCTCGCCCGGCGTCTCCTGTCTGGCGGCTGGGACATCGCAATCCAGACGCGCTTGGGGGGTGCCATCGGATCTGCTCCCCAACTGGATGTTGGCTCCCCGAACTTTAGAGATAACCTCTTGGACCCGGGTTCGGCGTTGCTCAAAGGTCTCCCCCATAGGCTCGTCGATAGGTAGGATGGCGTATCCGCGCCGGACCCCCGGCACGAAAAGCGTGGTTGTATCGATGGGCGCCTCCACCGACTTGAGCACATCAAGGACTGCATCTTTGGTGTCGGCGGCCGGGGCATCCGGGTCCCATCCCCCGATGATAAGTGCAGGCTTGCGGGCACTGTCGGACGGGGCAATTGTGCTGCCCGCTGTCGACGATCCCCCGCCCTTTTCAAGCCGCTCCAGCCTGAGGTTGACCTCTTTGTTCGCCTCCTGCAGTTGTTGCAAGATGTCCCCCTGGTGAGTATACTTCTGGGTCATATCGTCCAGGAGGTTTATCGTTTGCTGCATCTTCCGCGTCACCTGGCTTTCCACGTTGTCGACTCTGGCTGCAAACCCCCGAATGTCCTGCTTGACCTCGGAAAGAGCATCTTTCAATTCTCCCCGAATGGCTTCGCGGATAACATCCAAATGGGAGGCAAGGCCCTCCCCTTGGTCTGCTGCTCTGCGTTTGGTGGGCGAGTTGCCGGCCTGGTCCACCGGCATTTCGTTGCCCTGTGCGTTGGCCATGGCGCTTCCCCCAGGTAGTTTGCTAGGTCGCTGAACTGCAAGTAGGGCAGCAAACGTGCCCCCGAGGTACTTTAGGACCCGATGGTCTTGCGGAGGATCGCTCCGGTGTGGTAGTCCCCCTGTAGGGCCGCCAAGCCGTACCGGTAGTGGTGGACAGGGTCCCTCGCACGCCTGGGCAGCGGTTCACCTCGTGGAACGTTCGCGACGATGTCGCGGCCGTCGGCGATGGGCAAGTACTCGCGTAGTATTCCGATCGTGCCCTCGACGGATATCGCACTCGGGCACAGGACACTCCCTTTCTGTGGCTTTCCCTCAAGCGGCCCGGGTTTGTAGGCCCTCTTCTGTCTCAGGGCCCGGCCTTGAACCACTCACGGCTTGAGCCAAAATGGCTACGGTAGGGCGGGTCTCTCTCTCTCTCTCTCTCTCTCTCTCTCTCTCTCTCTCTCTCTCTCTCTCTCTCTCTCTCTCTCTCTCTCTCTCTTTGCTTTGCTTTGATCCGGGGTGTGGGCCGCAAGCAGTCCTTGCGACCCGCGCTTCAGCGCGACCCCATCCAGCATATTGTCCGGATGGGCTTGGCTGTGTTTTCTCTCTCTCTCTCTCTCTCTCTCTCTCTCTCTCTCTCTCTCTCTCTCTCTCTCTCTCTCTCTCTCTCTCTCTCTCTCTCTCTCTCTCTCTCTCTCTCTCTCTCTCTCTTCTCTCTCTCTCTCTCTCTCTCTCTCTCTCTCTCTCTTGCACGCAGACAAGAGTGGGTAGCGAGCCCACTCCGCGCACGAGTGCGCACTGGGCTAAGTCCGTGGTGAAAGTTTCCCCCCAGCAAGTACGAGGCACTGGCTTTCAACCGTTGCATCTCTCTCTCTCTCGCTCGCTCGCTCGCTGCTGGGGTTGAGTCTGCGAACAGACCCGGGCCTAGGCCCCCCCTTCCTGCCTTGTTGTTTTCTCTCTCTCTCTCTCTCTCTCTCTCTCTCTCTCTCTCTCTCTCTCTCTCTCTCTCTCTCTCTCTCTCTCTCTCTCTCTCTCTCTTCCGCCAAGGTTAACGACAAAGGAGTAACCCCTGCTAGTGTGCGCGCGCCTGTTACGGGTGCCAAAGAGCTGCATACAGTGAGCCCTCTAATCTAGTCCCAATGCTCTCTCGCTCTCTCTCTCTCTCTCTCCCGGGCATGGGGACGGGTCAGCGCCCCCGGGCAATGCTCCCTCTCTCTCTCTCTCTCTCTCTCTCTCTCTCTCTCTCTCTCTCTCTCTCTCTCTCTCTCTCTCTCTACCGGGCGTGGGGATTAGGGCAGCGTCCAGGCCCCGCTCCCCGTGCAGTGCGCACACCCGCTATTCGCGGGTTGTCCTTAGTCCTCGTGGGAGTTTTTCCCCCCCGAAGCTCAGCTGAACAGCACAAGGGTTCACCCATTCACTGCCCCTTTGTACTTGCACTCTGTAGGTTGGCGGCAGTGTAGGATTCCCCTTCGTTTGGCAGAGCTTACGGCTTGTTTCTGTTCGTGTACAACCATATGCCATGACACTACAGACATGAAAGTTGCACAAGTCGCAAGCTGAGGGCCCGGCCATAGAAAGAGTATAACGAGTAGCGTATTAGAACACGTAAACAGTTACTCCCCCTATCTCGTGACCAGGTTGCATCTGCCGTGGTACAACTCTGTGAGACATGGGCTGCATGGGTGGCCTATTGACATTTGTGGGTCCCCCTAGCAGGTTCACTGAGATGTACATCCCCCGGCTGGTGTCAATAGGGCCCATGCTTCCCATAGAAGGCAGCTTGGAGTCGCCTTCTCCTATGGCTTCCCCCGTCGTCGTCATCATGACGTGGGGATCGGGAACGTGCTCTGTTGGCACTCAGCTGAGCTTCTCCCCCGGCTGGTGGCGGGTTCCATGGCATAGTCGCGGCTTCACTGTCGTCTTGTGTGGGAATGGTTGCCATTTCCCCCACTTCATTGACTGCTTGTTGTAGACTCGCTGTCATCATCTGCGCCATTTGTGCGGCTGTCAAGGCGCCGTCTCCCCCATGTGGCTCCGCGGGCATGGGCTCGGTCGCTGCTTCCCCGGTGTGCTCGCGAAGCGCCTCCATGTCCCCCTCGGGCTTCTCGGGCTGCTCGCTGTAGGCCGCCGTCTCCCCCTCCGTGTTCACATCGCCGGTCTGCGTCTGTTCATGCACCGCATGTGCTCCCCCAAACATAGCTTGTTGCCATGCCTCAAGTGCCTGAAGTGTTTCGACTATTGGCACCATGAGCATACCATGAGCTGACCATTCAGGAAGGGCACCGTGTTCTTAAGTCTGCCCGCAGCCTGTAGCAGTCTTGTAGTTGCAGAAGATCTTTGCGAGGATCGTGCTTCCCACTCTGTGGTGGCTTCCCCCGCGAAGGCAAGTGCATCTGCCGTGCCGGGTGTGCCATGGTGGGGTCCTCCGTCATGACTGTGGTGGCTTCACCTCTCTTGGTGGCCAAGAGAGCCGCTGGTGCAAGAAGATCATGCAGCTCGTTCCACCATTCGAGGGTGTTCCACTGTCTATCTCCCCCCAGCGCCCGCAGGATGACTTGGTCGATCTGGTGGTATGCGGCCGTCAGCTTGAGGGTCGCCTTGTTGAGGTTCTGCTCGGTGACGTCCCCCGGCATCGGGTCCTTGAGCTCGGCTAGCCCTGTTTCCACCATGGCTCGGAGTTGGCTCAAGTCCGTCGCTTACTCCTCTGGGGTGAAGCCTTCTCCCCTCTCTCTCTCTCTCTCTCTCTCTCTCTCTCTCTCTCTCTCTCTCTCTCTCTCTCCTCTCTCCTCTCTCTCTCTCTCTCTCTCTCTCTCTCTCTCTCTCTCTCTCTCTCTCTCTCTCTCTCTCTCTCTCTCTCTCTCTCTCTCTCTCTCTCTCTCTCTACCGGGCGTGGGGATTAGGGCGGCGTCCAGGCCCCGCTCCCCGTGCAATGCGCACACCCGCTATTCGCGGGATGTCCTTGGTCCTCGTGGGAGTTTTTCCCCCCCGAGGCTCAGCTGAACAGCACAAGGGATCTCCCATTCACTGTCCCCCGTTTTGTACTAGTGCTCTGTAGTTAGGCGGCAGTGTGGGATCCCCCTTTGTTTGGCAGAGCTTACGGCTTGTCAATGTTCGTGCACAACCAAGTACCGTGATACAACAGGCATGAAGGTTGCACAAGTCGCAAGCTGAGGCCCCGGCCATAAAAGGAGTACAACAAGTAGCAAATTAGAGTCTTCGAACAGTTACTCCCCCTATCTTGTAACCAGGTTGCCTCTGCCATGGTACATCTCTGTGAGACATGGGCCCCCCTAGCAAGTTCACTGAGATGTATATCCCCCAGCTGGTGTCAATAGGGCCCATGCTTCCCATAGAAGGCTGCTTGGAGTCGCCTTCTCCTATGGCTTCCCCCGTCGTCGTCATCATGACGTGGGGATCGAGAGCGTGCTCTGTTGGCACTCAGCGGAGCTTCTCCCCCTGCTGGTGGTGGGTTCCATGGCATAGTCGCGGCTTCACTGTCGTCTTGTGTGGGGATGGTTGCCATTTCCCCCACTTCATTGACTGCTTGTTGTAGACTCGCTGTCATCATCTGCGCCATTTGTGCGGCTGTCAAGGCGCCGTCTCCCCCATGTGGCAAGGCGCCGTCTCCCCCATGTGGCTCCGCGGGCATGGGCTCGGTCGTTGCTTCCACGGTGTGCTCGCGAAGCGCCTCCGTGGTCCCCTCGGGATTCTCGGGCTGCTCGCTGTAGGCCGCCGTTTCCCCCTCCGTGTTGATGTCGCCGGTCTGTGTCTGTTCATGCACTGCGTGTGCTCCCCCAAACATAGCTTGTTGCCATGCCTCCAGTGCCTGAAGTGTTTCGACTATTGGCACTATGAGCTGCCCATTCAGGAAGGGGACCGTGTTCTTAAGTCTCCCCGCGGCTCGTAGCAGTCTTGTAGTTGCGGAAGATCTCTGCGAGGATCGTGCCTCCCACTCTGTGGTGGCTTCCCCCGCAAAGGCAAGTGCATCTGCCGGGTGTGCCGTGTCGGGATCCTCCGTCATGACTGTGGCTTCACCCCTCTTGGTGGCCAAGAGCGCCGCTGGTGCGAGAAGATCATGCAGCTCGTTCCACCATTCGAGGGTGTTCCACTGCCTATCTCCCCCCAGCGCCCGCAGGATGACTTGGTCGATTTGGTGGTATGCGGCCGTCAGCTTGAGGGTCGCTTTGTTGAGGTTCTGCTCGGTGACGTCCCCCGGCATCGGGTCTTTGAGCTCGGCTAGCCCTGTTTCCACCATGGCTCGGAGTTGGCTCAAGTCCGTCGCATACTCCTCTGGGGTGAAGCCTTCTCCCCTTCTCACTCTCATCGAAGCTACGAAGCGGTAGGCTTCGCTGAGTCCCGTGGGGCCTGCGAAGGCTGCTTGTATCCTCCGAGGCCTCGAGTGAGGGAAACTGTCGGCTTGCGTGAGCATTCTGAGCGCTATAGCACAGATATTGGAGATGAGCTCCCCCGCGTGGTTGCCGTCTGCAATTTCATGTATCATCTGCAGTTGGGCCAGGGCAGCTTGGATCGTTCCCCCTTGAGCTGCGAGGAGCGCTTGTGCATCCACTGGTACGGAGGCACTCGAAGCCGCTGCGTCCCCCGTCGGCTGCCGGCGTCTGCGCGGACTTGCTGGCAACGGTGTGCGGCGTCGTCGTTGTGGTGGGCCCGCATGGTGCGTTGGCTCTTCTCCAATCCCCCGGCTTGTCCTGTGTCGTCCCTCTCTGAGTTGGTCTGCGAGAGGAGTGCGTCGTCGTCGGCGGACGAGGCCCACATTCTCCTCGTCAGTGGTCGTGCCGTTGAGCTCCCCCTCGGTGCCACTGGGACATGCCGTCGGGGAGGCCGGTGTGGTAGTGGTCGAGGTCGAAGTAGTGGGCGGGAGTGAGTTCGGTACTATCATGTTCCCCCATGGGCCCTGGCGCTGGAGTGGGCTTCGGGCCGATCTGCCTGCCGTCACGTATCTGATGGAACCAGGGTGTCGGCGTTTGCTGCGGCGGTGGTTGCTGCGCTTGCGCTCTTGTTTGCTGTGACTGTCTCAGAGTCCTGCCGTCACTCAGGGGATTGTGTATCCCAGTCGGTTGTGGTTGTGCTTGGGGTTGTGGTTGCGTTGGTGCTTGTGGTCGCTCAGGTGCTTGTGGTTGTGGTTGCGTCTGTGTTTGCGGCTGCTCTGGTTCTGGTTCCGTCGGGCTTGGCCTTTCGTCCCCCGCCGGTTGTTGGGGTTGTGGTGTCTGGTGCTCTGCTTGTTCGGCTTGGTGCTGGCCGTGTGGGTGGGAGTGGTGGTCGGTGTCAGTGTAAGCTGCTGTCGCTTCAGTTCTGTAGAACTGGTCTGGGGTGGTGGTGGTGAACTGTATGCTCCAATGTGTGCTGGTGGAGAGAAGCAGGAACTGGTCCCCCACCTGTAGGGCGAGGCTTTGGTGTTCTTGGTGGTGGGGTGTTGGTACTTGGGTGACTGTGGCGAGCCAGCGGCGTTGTGAGATAGGCTCCAGCAGGAGCCAGGTTTCACCGCTGATGGGTGGGTAGACGCTGACTGGCATGCTTGTTGTTGGTGGTGGTGTGGTCTCCCCGCTGTTGGTCGGGACGTCGGCTTGGTATTCGATCCGGGTGAGCCATTTGCCGGCTCTGAGGACCGTGTGTGTAGTTGTGGTGATGGCCGAGTGGGGTAGTGCAGGTGGGGCTGAGTGTTCTCCCCCTAGTGAAGGAGGGCGGGGTTGGTGTGGTGTTTCCCCCGTCGGTGGTGGCGGTTGTCGTCTCGTAGGGTAGTAGCTTGTGGCCGTGGTGGCTGCGGTTCCCACATCCTCTGCGTCGGGGTGCCAGTAGGGTGTGTAGGTGTCTGCTTTGGTGTGACCTGGTTGGGTCATGGGGTCGCCCGCTGGCTGGCCATCCTCCTCTTCTGCTGTGGCTTCCTGCTGTGGCTGTAGGTGCGGTGGCAGAGGCTGGCCCGGATTGGGCATGCGGAAGTAACCAGTGGTTGCCACTCGGTGGGTTGTGGCGGGTCGGTGTTGTCCTGTGCTTGTGGCGGTGGTTTGCTGGTGTCGTGGCGCGGTGGAGGTGAGGGGCCTTGACCCAGGAGGTGCTGTCCCCACCTTGTGTGGTGGAGATTGTTTGCTTTTAGCCAGCGCTTGATTTTGTATTTCTCTGCTTTGTTCCTGGTGCGGTCTGGGCCTCCCCCTTCGTGGTATCGGTGCTGGGCTCTGTGTTGGGTGCCGGCTGCTGTGGTTGCTTTGGAACTCCGTCGACGCGGCGTGTGGGTTCCATGTTGAGTCCCCCCGGGTGTGCTTCCGCCGTCGTCGGTGTTGCTGCTGTTGCCAGGGAAGTGCGGCAGCAGCTCTCGCTCGATGTAGCTTGCCGGTATCTCCCCCGTCGTTATCCAGGCGTAGTGTTCACGCATGGTCATCCCTGGGATGGCTCGTGTGCCGCCTGGTGGGAGGCGGGAGCCCGTGACCGCCTCGAAGGGGGCTCTGATGTTGAGCCGAGGTTGCGCGTCTCCCCCGGCGGTCGTCGCTGTTGCTGTGGCTGTAGCTGGTGTCGTGGGTTGTTGCTCTGTTCCTCCTGAAGAAGGTTTTTGCCCGCTTGGGTCGGCTGCAGGTGGGACCGGTGGTTGTGGTGGAGTGTCGTATTGCGGTTGTGATGCGGCTGGTGGTTGTTCCACCGATGGTGTAGTTGCTTGTGGTGCTTGGGGTGCCTGGTCGTGGTAGTGGCTTCCTCCGGTTGGGTGTGGCATCGTGGGCGTGGTAGGTTGGTAGGTTGACCACGGGTCTGTGTCTGGGTTGTAGGTGCTGGCGTAGGCCCCAAAGGGCCGGATGGGGGCTCCAGTCGAGTGTGAGGGTGCTTGTGGTGGATCATCGGCTTGGTTAGGAGGTTCGATGATCTCCCCCGATGGGTCCCGTAGGTTTCCTTGGGCGTCGTAGGACGCGAACCCGTGCTCTGCGGCTAGCTGCGCTGCAGTGTAGGGCTGTGTTGCATGCTGTTGTTGGTGCTGGCGTTGTGCCTGGTACATGTCGGCGAGCCCTTTGGCAACTCGCCTTGCCGGGTTGTCCGGTGGTTGGCTCGTGAGGAAGAGGACGCCGGTCCGTTGGGGTAGCTGTGCTTGTGGTGGTGGTTGCTGTGGAGAGGTTCCTCCTGTTGTGGGTGGTTGCTGTTGTTGTTGGGGAGGGATTCCTCCGGTGGCTGGTGGTTGCGTCTGCGGTGTCGTCGCATCTGTGCTGCCCGCTGGCTGTTGATGCAGTGGTTGTTGCAGGGGTGTCCCCCAGTGTGTGAGTCCATGTATGGCTGTGGCCATGGATCCGTGTTGGGGTTGTATGGTGGGGGTGGCTGTGGCTGTTGCCAGTGGTATTGCTGCGAGGGCTGTTGTAATGTCTGGCTTCCAGTTGCGTGGTGCCAAGGTTGGCTCCCCACTGCTGTGTGGTGTACTTCCCCCGTTGCGGTGTTTGGCATGTGGTGGTGGGCTGCAGCGGCTGTTGCTTGGCTGGTTCCTCCTGTTTGTGCGGAGGCAACGTGTGCTGGCACCTGGCCTGCTGTATGGTGGTGGTGTGGTGACTGCTGTGTATGCATCGCTGGGAGGTGTCCTGCAGCTCCCCCGGTTCTGTGCTCGTATGTGGTAGGCATCGTCGGCAGTGCTCCTCCCGCTGTAGCGGTTTGGTCCGGAGCGCGTGGCGGGAGTGGTCCCGCTCCACTCACGTCTCGCGTGCCTCGTGGGTGTCCCATTCGAGTGCCTCTTGGAGCGTTCCCCCCGGCTTGCTCGTCTGGGCCATAGTAGGTTGCCGACCCCGTCGGCAGGTGCAAGAAAACGAGACTCCCCGCCGCTAGGCAGATCAGCGCAGTCCCCTTCGAGACCATGATGTCACTGAGGGCGGGGGTCTGTAGGTTCTGAGCTTTCGCTGCTGCGGTTGCCTCTGAGTTCAGCGTTGCTGGCAGGGCTTCACGGGCACTTCGCTGCTGGTGACATGTACTGACAAGAAAGCAGGCAGACAAGCACAAGTACATGTAACTGTTCTCTCCCCTCTGTTGCTTGCTTGTGGCTGGTGTGGCTCTCAGGTCGTACCTTCATACGCTGTCCCCTCCACAACCTGGCTGGGAGGGAAGGGCTCTCTCATGCGATTGCTGGTGTGCTTGTCGCCCCTTCTCTGCGCCTGTTGGGTGTGAGATTGTCGTGTATGCTGGTTTGCTTCCCGGTTGCCCACGGCACGTCGAAACGATCGACGAAGGATTGTGAAAGTTGGTGCCAAAGTACTCGGTCCTGGGCTGTTTCCCCCCAGTTTGTGCCACCGACGCTCTCCAGGGCTCTCTCGACGTCTGCTTCTGGGTTGAAGCGCGCTGCGTGGTTGACTCTGCTGTTGCGAGGTTTGCGTTGCTCCTTGCGCCAGAATTCGAGGTTCTTCCATTGCAGCATGGCATTGACCTCTTCCCCCCCTCTAGCCATGTGTCCCCAAAGGGACCAGATTTGTTGTAGGATAAAGGAAGACCAGCGGGGCCATCCTCCCCTCTGCATGTGGAGGCGTGCCATCCTGAGAGAGCGGATGTGCCAGTCGGCCCACTGCTCCGTTGGCCTCCTCTCGATGTGGAGCATGCGTCTCAAATGCTGTGCTTGTAGAGAGTTGGCTGCTCTGAGTAAGCGCTGGTTGGCTGGCCATGTCTCGGCAGCATATAGTGCGGCGGAGCGTACCAGAGTGGTGTATGCTGCTACCCTGGCCTTAATGCTTGTGCGTGCCAGGAGTATGCCTTTGTGTTTTGCTGCGATCTGCTCCCCAAAGGTGATGGGTGACCCAAGGGTGGCAATTACGGTCTTGTAGGGGGCACACGGTACCGTGGTGTTGCCAATCTCGAAGGTACCCCCCCCTTCGGGCTGGCTGAAGAGAATGGCAGTTTTGGTGGGATGTATGTGGAGGCCATCCTCCGAGAGTTCTGCCTCAAGGTTGTGGAGGAGGCGCTGTAAGTGGTGTTTGTCTTGTGACCAGAGGTAGGTATCATCAAGGAAGCTCCCCCCGGCTCGTGGCGGTGGCGGTCCTCCTTGTGCGTCCGGGCCTTGTGTGGGTGCTGCGTGGATGGCTGACTGAAGGTCTCGAGCAACGATGGCGCCGAAGAGGTCGGGGGAATCGGGGCTGCCTTGGCGAATGCCGTTGGTTTGTGGTACTGGCGTGATGGTGTCGCCTACCGCGACGTTGAGGGTGCGGGTCTCGAGGATGCTCAGCCACATTAGGGCTTCCCAAGGTTTGTCCCCCCCGTCGGCTGGGATTGGGCATCGGGTCGAGGCAACCCCCCCCACCCGTGCTGCGACAAGCTCGCTCATACTGTGCTGCCAGACACTATCAAATGCCTTGCGTATGTCCAGTTTAACCAACCATGTCGGCACGCCCCAGTCTTTTGCCATTTGCACGACGCGGCGAATTGTCGCCACCAGTTCTACCCCTTGTCTGCCATGTCGGGCCCACTGCAAGGTGGCCTCCCCCCGGATGTAAGCTCCCCCCCGTGCGAGGAGGAGTTGTGCTGCAAGCTTGAGCAAAGTGCTGCTGAGTGTAATGGGTCGTGTGTCGGTCCACTCGAGTGGTGTGGGGACTTTGGGTAAAAGTACTGTAATCCCCCGGTCGGTCGATGGTTTCGGGGCCGTGTAGAGCATGTCGTTCATGACATATGTGATGAATCCCCCCCAGGCTTTATGGGCTAGCAGCGCCTTGGCTGCCTCGTGGGAAATGCCGTCGGGTCCTGTGCTCTTGTTGCTCCCCCAGCGCTGTGCTGCGATCTGTAGTTCTGCGATGTGGAATGGTTGCCACGGCGTGAGCTTGCACCGGCGGCGGAGCTGGTCACGGAGCGTGGTAATCCGGGCGCTCCCCCCGGGGGGGATGGGCTTGGCGAAGATGGAGCGCATGTGGTTGTGGAGCTGGGTCTGCCAGTCGGGGTTGTCTTGTAGCTGGAGTTGCCAGCCTCGGTGCGTTCTGGCTTTTTGCAATGTGCGTAACGCCCTCCAGTCCAGTTGTGCGGCCTGTTCGGCCTGCTTGGTGTTCCAAGCTCTATGCTCCTGTTTGTGACACTTTGCAATGGCTTTCCATGCTGCTCTGGCTGCGGGCCCGGGTGGGCAGTGCTGGGCATCCCTGCGCATCCCCTTCAGTTTGGCGCTTTCTTGGAACTTGTTGTGTCCGCTGCCGGGGACCGTGATCGCCTTTGCTAGGGTGGCTAGAACTTTGTGCGGGTCTTCTCCTCTCGGGGGTGGGACTGTCAGGAGTTGCTCGACCTGGTGGGGTGGGCGAAGGCGGCGCGGGCCCCAAGTGGTGCGGGTCGAGCCTCCCCCTTTGTGTGCGCCACTTCCCGGCCCCCGCTGTAATCCCTTTCACCAGGATGTAGTCCAGTCGGCGGGGCTGCATGGCCTGGTTGTAAGGGTGGTAGCTTGGGATGTGGAGCTGTTGTGGTGGCAGGGTGATGCTGCTTGAACTCGCCCATTCGAGCAGTGCTTCCCCCCGCCCCGGCCCGAGGTTGCGTAACATCCTGGTACATTGGTGAGGGGGGGAGGAGGGACTCGTTAGCGTCGAGGCCCAGTAAGCAGCGTTTGTGGTCGCCCAGGCCGTCCCCCCATTCGGAAAGAATGGTCTCTGTTTCGGGGATGGTGGCGTGGTGTGGGATGTGCCCCGCCAGTGTTCTGACGGTTGCTTTGTCTGTGGTGGCTTTCAGTGTGGTGATCACCCCCCCGGAGGTAACTCTGCTGTGGTGGTGTGTGTAGTGTTCGGAGGTGTGTGCCACCCCCTCGCCTCGGAACTCTCCCTCTCTCTTGCCATAAACAACTTGCCAAGTGTCTGATTCTGCATGGGAAAGGCCTTGCTCGCAAATGATTTCCTGCAGCAAAACGATAGTGACACAGTGCAGGTCCGGGCTGCCGCTGAAGGTGTCGAGGAGCTTCAGCAGGTTGTCTGCCGTCAGTCCCCCGACGTTCCACGTCATTGCCCAGGTTTGGCCGGATTGATTTCCCCCCTCGGCCTGGGGGTGAAACTGCTCAGGATCTATGGCTCAGTTGATCTCCGCCTTAAGCGGAGACCAAGCGGCTGCCGTTGCCTCTCTGGTGGTACGGGTGGCCTTGGCGATCGCGGCGATGTCCACCCAGCCAGGGCCTGCGTCCTCTGCTCCCCCCGGCTTTGGTGCCGTTGCCGAGCTGATCTTGGTACTGTTGACCCATGCGGTTCCCGTGCTGAACTCCATTTGCAAGGCTCCTTTGTCTCCCCCCAAGGTCAGGTAGAGACGTTTCACCTTTGCAGCAAGTCTGGCGCGGCGTCGGCGGTCTGGAGGTTGCGAAATTGCAATCCAGACGCGCTTTGTGGTGCCATCAGGTTTGCTCCCCAACTGAATGTTCGCCCCCCGCACCTTGGAGATGACTTCCTGGATTCGGGTGCGTCGTTGTTCATAGCTTTCCCCCATGGGCTCGTCGATCGGTAGAATGGCGTAACCGCGCCGGACGCCCGGCACGAACAACGGGGTTGTATCGATAGGGGCCTCGACCGACTTGAGGACATCCAGGACCGCGTCTTTGGTTTAAGCAGCGGCCGAGTCCGGGTCCCATCCCCCGATGATTAGAGCAGGTTGGCGAGCGCTGTCGGAGGGAGCAATGGTGCTGGCTGCAACCGAGGATCCCCCTCCTTTCTCCAGGCGTTCCGGGCGAAGGTTTACTTCTCTGTTGGCCTCCTGTAGCTGCTGCAGAATATCCCCCTGTTGGCTGTACTTTTGAGTCATGTCGTCGAGGAGATTGAGAGTCTGCTGCATCTTCTTGGTGACCTGGCTTTCCACGTTGTCCACTCGGTTGGAGAAACTGCGGATGTCTTGTTTGACCTCGGAGAGGGCGTCTTTGAGTTCCCCCCGAATGGCCTCACGAATGACATCCAAGTGCGAAGCGAGATTCTCCCCCTGATCGCCTGCCCGTCGCTTAGCAGGAGAGTTTCCTGTATGGTCCACTGGCATTTCTTGGCTGCCCTGCGCATTGGCCATGGCGCTGAGTTCCGCCAGGAAGAGTGCCGGCTCGCCGGTGTGCAAGTGGTACTGCAGACTCGCCCTCTCGGTACTTTACGACCCGATGCTCTTGTGCAGAATCGTTCCCCCGAACACGGCAGCACGTAGGCTCGCCTTATTGTTCAGGTAGTTGGTCAGCAAGTCCCCCGCACGCCTCGGAGAGCTGCGGTTCACGTACGGCTCCGATCGTGCAGTACTCCCCGCGGGCAACTCCGAAGATGAGGTCGCGTAGTACAGCGATCGTGCCCTTGAACTTGATCGCTCCCCGCTCTCGGATGGCTTTCCCTCTCGGTCGAGGTTTCAGGCCCTCTTCTGTCTGGGCGGTGCGGCCTTGAACCACTCACGGCTTGAGCCAAAATGGCTCTCTCTCTCTCTCTCTCTCTTGCTTGCTTACGGCCATAGGAGAACGCACCCGTAAGCACGCCCCCCCCACGCGAACACGCGCAGCCGCAGTCTTTGTCCTGCACTGTCCTCAAATCTCTGAAACCCTCCCCCAGCTTCGTGTCCTGTCCCATGTGCGACGAAAGGAGCAATTAATGTACAAGTAAGTGCACGATCCTAAGCAACAGATGCAAAATGAAGACACTTGGGTCACCGGATGCTTGTGGCGCCACTCTCCCACGCAAGCAGGTTAGTAGGAGCTGCTGAGGACGCCATTGAAAGCAAGACCATGCAGGGAAACATGGGCTGGCAGCATTACGAAAGGGCAACACCCAAAAAATTATGAAGGCATGACGACAGATGCTCTCCACCTCTGTCTCTATCTCTCTCTGTCTCTCCCTCTCTCTGCATTCTCGTTTGAGATCAAGTGTCCAAATGTCTCGAACACTTGGGCATTCTCCCTTTCAGGGCTATGTATGGAAGTCTTGCAAGATGGCACATTCTGTCAGGCAATTAAAGCCAACTTCGAACAAGGGAGCGGGACAGCCCCTCACCACCCGCACTTGCTGGTGCTGCAGGCACAGCAACTGAGCTTTCCTAAATCGTCTATGCCGGGCTCATAGTTTCTGTTGAAGCTTGTTCACAGCTCGAAGCTGCAGCCCCCGAATTCACAAGAACTAGCTGTCAAATCATGGTATCCCTGCCTTCCAGTTGAGCGGATGCGTTTCTGGAGTCGCATTGGGGTCCTTGCCAGCAGACATGAGACTCGCGGAGCATGCTGAAACCGAGTCCAAACATGTCCAAACCACTCTGGGAGGGAGAAGCAATGGCGTGACACTTTCGTTGTCTCCTCTCTGTAAATTTTCACGGTCTTGTCGCATTCCGCCGTCAACAAGCGACTGCCACTCTGGTCCAGCCTTTACGCACCAGTCACGCGAACTCAAGAGTGCCACCACAGCTGCCGCTGCACTCAAGCTCCCAACGCCATGTCGAAAATTGCATTTTCCGCACCTGTAGTTGGAGCTCAACATGGCTGGTCATCCGACATCGCAAAAGAATCACAGTCACATCGCAAAACAGCAAGGCATGACAAGAGAAGAACCGACGCCCAACCGGAAGACGTCACCAAGTATCCAACTCATGCTGCCGGGTTGAGGTATGGCCTGGCATCTTGCTTCTTGAAATGCTCATGCACAAACATGTCCGGTTCACCTCCAAGCTTTGGAACTTGTGGCCGCTTCTCCAATCCTGCAAAAAAGCTTGCTCGGAGCCACGAGATGCAGATGACTAGCAGAGCAAGCAGCTGTCCCAAAAATGGAGATAGCCATTGTCTGTTCCAGCAATCAGCTGCGATGAGCCCTGCTGCCCTTCTCGAATTGTGCAGCCTGTCAGGTGCTCGCTCGGAACAGGGTTGGAAGCCAGCAGAGGCTCTGGAAAGTACTCTGCTATCTTGGGAGCCGCTTGGCCGCGTGCAATGCGAAGGCACTACGTGGACACATGTGAACACTGAGCTTGGCGTGAGGTGGCGATAGATATGTATATATATATATATATACATATATATATATACATATATACATATATATATATATATATATGTGCTCTCTTCTCCCTTGCAGTTCACCCTTGGTCGCGCTGTCAAACCCCAAAGGATCCCTGCAGAATCTCAGATTGTCTGCAAACAACCCGACACATGTCGCATGCACATGGTGCAGGTGCTGGTGAACTATCCCTGCCAACTTCCATGTGCAAGACACCGGCAGCCAGAATGCACATTTGAGCACGCAGAATCGCCCAACTAACCCAGACGAACGTGCGCTCACACCCTCGAAACAGACTGAAGCCGACCCCTGCTACGGCTTTGTTTAGCTTCCAACCAACCGGATGGACACAATTCGAATCGTAAGCCGGGTCGATCACAGGTTCGTGTGCGAACCGGTTGGCGCAATTTTCGATGCCTTCATATGCCTTCCGGCCTCTGCTACCGTGTTCAGAATGTGTGTGCGCCCCCGGCAGTGCACATTCATTTCTGCTCAACTTAGCCGCCCGAAGACCCGCCGACATGAAAGTGGAAGTCGCATCGAATCTGCCGGAACAGCCTGGTACAACAGAACAGCACGGTGTGCAAAGCTTGAACTTAGAGGCCTACATGCTCCGACCTGCACTGTTGGGAGACGATGCCGCTGTTCGTGGGGGATGTCGTGGGGTTGGGCTTAGGGCTGTCAGCCTTTTCCTATGCCGGTTTGAAGGAAGGAGCGCATGTCGGCCGCGAAGACCGGGCACCATGAAGCCTCGCCGTCTGCCCCACGGGCCGAGCATCAAACTCGCTTCTTCGAGAAAGCTCTCGCGAAAAGTGAACACATGTCGGACAGGACATGAAAGTGTGAGAGCACGGCTTTGCTGTTGGACTTTGCTCTAAAGAATGGAGATACGCGTCAATGTGGACCGGAGCGGCAGTCTGAGCATGAGAAGATGAGAATTTTCACTGGACTCAAACTGACTATACCTCTCATCGCGCCGGCCATAATTGGAACACTACAGGGCGCCCCATGTTGTAACCAAAATGCTTTAAATCTTGATAGCATCACAATTGCACCTCCGGAAGTGGACACACCTGGTAGACGGCTCATTGCAGATATAGCTGAACTCCGCTCACACAAGTACCAGCTTGAGAAGCACGATGGCTCTCCGAAGTAGCAAATCTTGCGTCTCATGGACAGGGACGAAGCGAAACTCTATAATGAACCGCGAATCCGGATATGTTCTCAAGCTGCGAAGTCACTTCATCACCCTACTGCCATGTGACCCATGCGCATGCAGCTCAGATAGTCTTGCAAGTGGCATGTCCAAGCTGCATGATCCGAACCGGTCAGAATCATTACTCCGGTGTTTGACCTTTCCATGATTACATTTTTAGGCGCATGGATGATCTCAAGGTTATCACACCAACATGTTGTCCCGACGCTGCTACACAGGCAACTCCATGCAAGAGAGGAAGCAACGTCTGCGCAGGTCGTTATTCACATTTGCACGTTTGTCGGTGTCTGCGTGCATCTGCGTGCGCCTCTCGGACCAAGCCAGCCCAACAGGGACGAGTATGGCGGAAGCTTTGACCCGCAAGACATGGCAGGGGGACAATTCACGATAGCATTGTGGCCCTGAATGTTGCGCTCAAAAGCGCCCTTGGGACATTTCCATACCTGCTCATTGCCCCGAGTGGTGAGCTGAAGAATCTTGCAGATCCGGGAACGCAGGCCTTGTTGTTGTCAGATGAGCATGACACAAAGGTGTACTCCAGAGGATGGATCGCCAAGGCTCGAATGCTCTTCCTGAAAGGTACGCTTCGCGCGGCGAGAGCGCATTTCTAATGGAGTGTGGGCCCAGGCTTGTGGTTGGTCAACGTGACCTTGGAGCACAACCAGGAAAGCACGTGTCGAAACTAGACTTAGACTTCCATCTCAGCCAGCTGCAGAGCACTTACCGGCTGCCAGATCCCAAAGTCGAACCTTCGATGTGTCAACGATCTTGGTGGATGCTCCTAGGCCTAGAGCAAAGCGTAAGTGCAGAACCATTCTGTCCATGGAACCGCTGATAAACTGGGGCTCGGCAGCCTCACCAAAAGCATTGAGCTTGATGCCATCTACGAAGAACTAGTTTCCCTTCCAGCAGCAGAGCCTGCGAGGTCAACGAGCAAATGGCGTTGGTATGGCCGGTGAAAACAAAAATCCCGGTCTTGGTGCGCATGTCCCACACACGGACTGAGCCATCACGGCCACCTCAGACAGACGGAAGAGAATAGTGCTCGCGATACTTCTCCATAATCTAAGATTCCACTTCCGGCCTGTTGCGAGGATGTTCAATGTGGGATGCAAAACGAGGCAGTACACCTCAGAAGAGCAAAAAAGCAATGCGCGTATTCTGGCGGACAGCTCACAGATGCCACAGCTGCTGAGGATTTGGCACCACTGAGGTGTCCATGGTAATTGCGAATTACCTGGCACACTGCTTCATACCGTAGCACCCAGAAAAACATCAAGACGAGCAAAGCTGGCCATGTTCTGCTCTAGGTCCCAGCACTTCACCTCACAGTCTTCGGACGCACTGAAGAGGTACGGATGCCTGCACCACCGAGTCGGCCATCGTGCGGCAATACAACTGCATGCACTGCTTTCCTGCTGCTCACTCCCAGGCGTGCCTATCCGAAATCGCCACAGCTCGGACTGTGCTGACGTGCCCAGTCAGGGACAGCTTCAGCCTGTTCAACACTCGCCGCTTCATCATCACACGAACATCCAAGCTTGTGTCTGAGCGAGGGGCGTGCCGCTAGCTAGGTCCCAGATCTTTATGAGGCGATCATTACCCGAAGATGCGAACCTGAAACGGTCGAGTGCAGCATGGAAACACACGACAGAGGGCCCGTTCTACTCGTCGCCCTGTGACACCTTGGGTTGAGCGCGTGACCATTCATTTGTTGGATCCACAGCAACAGTTCGCACCCAGCCCTCATGGCCTGACCTTTGCGTGATTGCTGGAAGCTCCGACAGCACAGCAGGACAGCAACTTTCATTCGATGCTGCAAACGTTGACCGTCCAACGCTGCTGCACTACTGTCGGCCATAGATAGCTGACTTTCGCCAAGTTCGAACCTGCATGTCATTGCATGGTACAACATTCTCGACACGAGGAAGTCTTGGAGTTCGAGAACCCTTTTAACCCAAAAGTGGCTGTGTGTTTCGTGGCACCATCTCAACGGGGCAACCGAAAAGCAACTCGAGGCGAATGCAGAGTGATGGTCGGACCCTTGAGCTTAGCGGAAGCAATTTCAGCTCTCAAAAGCTCCTCGTGCTGGGCAAGACCAGCAGGACAGCACTGCTGACTTGAAATAAAGCCGCCGAGTTTAGGGACACGGCTTCCCCAGAGAGCGGTGGTGCAGCGAGCCGTTTCATTATCCACCACCGCCCGATATACACGAGGAACTGTGAGCTGGGCGGAGGCTCGGATACTCAGGGTTCAGCGGCCGATGCCATGGAGTCAAACCCTTGCAGCACCTTCTGACATGGCACGTCTGGCACAGATCAATATAAGTTCTTGAAATGCCATGAGCCATTTGGACTGGGAAGATTTCGATGGCACGTGTTTTTGCCCTATATAATACCATCCGGCATTCACATTTGTTCACTGTGAGTGACCTGAGTGCCCTAGAGCTTCATCTTTGAAATATGACCTTCGGGTGGAAGCGACCGCTGCCCATGGCTGGACAGAGCACGAAACAAAGGAAAGCAAAAAAAGCAGAGGCTTCCAATTGAGTATCGCACATCACTCGCATCAGCTTCCACGGAGGATGCCATACAGGCTTCGGAATCTCTGGACGTTCGCGCAGAGGCCTTACCTCGCGATACGCATACCAAGTCAATGCACATGGTCTCACGATGATGCAACGAGCCTTGCCTGTATCTGTGTGGATGGGTCTACAGGAGCCTTCGGCGCTATCGGCACAACCTGCATGTGCCACACACAAGAGGAGGAGAGGACTGATGGGACGTGAAACATGCCCTGCACACTGGCCCCACTGCTGGGCCGTGCCCGGATTTTTCCTCACCATCCTGCGGTCAGAAATGTCCGGACGCACCAGCAAGTACCTCTTGCAGAAAGGAAGCCACAATAAAGCCGGATCGGCCGTGATCATTTGCGTAATCGCTGATGGTAACGCCTTCCATCAGACAAGCTCAAGAGCTTCCTGCTAAGCATAAGCAAGTACGCCCGGCAAGTCCCACGAGCCTCCTGTGTGGCATCGTCAGTCCCAGCCCGCAGGAACGGGAGACTGAAGCCACGACAAGCTGAGTACTTCCGCTTTCTCTACGAAGTCTGAGGCAGCAACGCTGTGACAGTCTCGTCCGTGACTTGCTCGGGCACGTCCCGAATGTGCTGGTACCTTTCGCTCCCAAGAACTCGTGGGCAGTGCGCAGTGCGGCGCTTCTCTGCATGGAACTAAGCGGCGCAGATTTCCTACACACAGAGACGCAGGAAAGAAAAGAGGCGAGCAAAGAGAAGACTGAGGCATGTTGCAAAGCTTGTTGTATTTCCACACACGACTGCTGAAAGTAATTGTTCTAATCTGGACCTGTCCTGAAACTAATCTCGGCACCACAAGGGGCTGCCATGCAGGTACACAGGACTGATCAGGTCCCGCTTCCCACTTCAGCTTCGTTGAGTGTGGTATGACACAAGTGCCACACTCCCCTGCACCCATGTTTCCAAAAGCTGCCAAAGGTTTCGTTGTGATGCTGGTTGCAAATCACACACATCAATACTGCAGTCTTTATGATCTTGATGGTGGCTACTTGGCTGGTCTTTGGCACGGAAACCCAATTGAATGGTACGGCTTCTCGCTCACTTGGCCAAACTGATCACTGGCCCACGCTTCTGTGTGCAATATCTCAGTCATACAAGCAACCTTCGTAGTCACATGCTTCCGTAGCAAGATACCACTTCTACAGGAGTCGCGGGCCGTCCCACGTACTAAGTTACTAGTTTCAAGGGAATGTCTGACCTATTTCCTGAGCATCACGGCACCCCATCCCTAATCAGAATGTGCGATTTACGTGGTACTGGCGCGCCCTGCAGAAGCCCACATTTCTCTCTGACGACATGACCTCAACATGACCGCAACTACTTCCATGCGCAAAATGTGTCGGCACGAAGTCGCATGCGACAGCATGGGTGGCCGTCAAGGGCCAGCAAAAGGGATAGATAGGCAGGGAAGGGTTCAAGCATGGACGAGCGAGCAAAAACAACAAGCTGGGACGATTCCACGACCGGGAGAGGCTGCATGCTGCCAGCTGGGAGTCCGGCATATCGGTGGTCTCTAAATGTCTCAAACATCTAGCAGCGACGCACACATTCAAAGGCACTCGTCGTTCATCTTGAGCCGCAGCAAAGCCGCTGTACCCCGAGAATCCTCTTCAGAAGCGAGTTCTCTCGCACAACTACAAAGCAACCAGGCCCTTCCTCCACTCGCTTCAACTCCTCATTCCCCACGAAAAGGTCATGTGTTCTCTTCAAAGACTTCCTGCAAGAGCCACACACACACACTCGACCATGCGAGGTGTGCAAAGTGTTCGAGTGCAAGAGCGTCGGAGCGGCGAGGGTCCTGACAGCAAGTGTGACTGGAGTTCTTTCTCGGGACCCCAGCCTCAGGAGCTGCAAAACAGGCAAAAGTTCTGAAGCAACTGCATCAATGCTGAGCCATCGGCGGATCCACCTGAGTTTGAGCGGCAGCGACAGACGATCCCTCACGAAACGAAAGCGGCCGGAAGCGCCGTACACAAATGCATCATTATCCGCCGACCCTTGCGGGCGGCGCTACGAGTCCGAAGGTGTTTTCTTGTGCTGCCGCCTTGGCTCTAGCCGTGCGCCCCTGGCTATTCTGGTACCCAAGGACTGCCCAACCCCTACTAGTAGTAGAATAGAGTAAAGTAATTTTAACGCTACGCCGCCCGCCTCGGCTGTGTAGTGGCAGGGCGAGGGGGCAGTCGATGTTTTTTTATGCTAGGAGGGGGGGGGAGAGGGGGGGGGGGGGGGGGGGGGGGGGGTGAAACCATAAACCTCTAAAGGGGTAGCTCTAACAGGTACCTACAGCAATGGCTGCATGCTCATACATATACATTCCGCTGCCCATTGGCTCACAGTGGTTTTACCATATTGAGACAAGACAAGCTCTCCTTGCGTAGCAAGACAAAACAACTACTGTCCGTGTGCAGGGCGCTGCCCTTTGATCCTTAGGGAATAAACTGGTCATACACCTCCTCACAAGGAGTATCCTTGGGGGTGTATCGGCACAGTTTTCTGGTAGCGGAGCCCGGAAAGGGCCGCCCGCCTCACAAAGTCCGCTACAGCGGTCGGCCTCGCCGAACGCTTAACCAAGCGGATAAGAGGCAGCACAATGTCGAGCTCGCATAGCGAAGCCGACGGCAGTTCCCAATCCTCCGGGGGATATGAGAACGAAGAGACCTCCCAAGGTCCAGCTACTTATGTCGCACAGTCATATGCAACATCTGACCGCATGCTTGCATCATTAGGCATAACGCCCAAGATCGCGCCTGCCTATGATGGCACCACCTCGTGGTTTGAGTATGAACAGTTGATTGACGACTGGTGCGATATAACAACGCTGGATGATACCAAAAGAGGTCCGTCTCTCAAGACGAGGCTCTCCGGATTGGCCGCAGTACAAAAAGAATCACTCAACAGAGAAAGGCTTGCAGCCCCAGACGGAGTAGATTACTTCAAGAAGAAGATGCGTCCATTTTTCGTGAAAGGAGAACAGTACGTTTTCCTGTGGCGTTTTCTCGGCCTATTCAAGGCATGGAAGGGCAACCAAGACTTTGTGACTTGGATTGCTAAGTTTGAGATCGTGCTACAGCGCGTGAGAAACTCATGGATGGATCTCTTACCAGAGATAATTCTGGAAGATGCCCATCCTGATTTCATGCAGGCTGTGCAAGCAGATCAAACCTTCATGCGCCTACAGGATGCAACCGAGAGAGACACATACGCCGCACGTTTCTTCGAAACATGGAACAAGGAACGCCTTGATAATCATCGAAGAGCGTTTCCTCTAAATGATAATCTCCTAGCTCTCCTCTTCCTAGTGCAGTCCGACCTAAATGAGATGCAACGTGAGAGGTTGGTAACAGCATTGACCAACCAAGGTTACCGAATTGAGACCTACACGTACCCTATAGTACGGCAGACCATGTTCGATCAGTTCTCAACGACCAGAACTGGTCTGCAGGATCCCAATATTCGGCACACTTCTCACAAGAAGGACCGCCATGGAAGGAGAGATCAACGCCGCAAACGCGGAGGTCGAAACTTCCTCATCCTCGATCAGGGTGAATACGACGGAGTCGATGGATTCTGGCTCCAAGACGAAGACACCCTTGAGGAAGGCTTTCTTGCCGCCGAGGATGAAGAAGCTGTCTTCTGGACAGTTGACGACCATGAAGCCTTCGTTGCAAGGAGATTCAAAAAGGGAAGAAGACCAAGAATGCGTCCCGGATCACCGGGAAGAGCAAAGGGTGGCAAGCGAAAAGGACGTGGCCGTTTTAGGTCATACCGCGGAAAAGGGAGAGCCAACCAGGCAGAACATGATCCAACTGATTCCAGCTATTTCGGTAAAGGTAAAGGAAAAGAAAAAGGAAAAGGTGGAAAAGGCAAAGGAAAAGGAAAGGACAAAGGAGATAAAGGAAGCTCCTTCAAGGGTACAAAATCAAAAGGCA